CAGCGTCCCCTAAATTTTAACATCCCCTGATTTCTCCCCCCCCCCTCCCCATTTTTTTTTAATATAGAGATTATTATATATTAGCGACGTTATTAATGAATTTCCAGGCACATTTGAACACATGCAAGCACGACGCTGTCCCTTGCAGTAACAAATGCGGTGCGATGATTCCTCGAGTTCTCATGGAAGATCATCTAAAATACACGTGTGCTCAACGTCGTGCGCGCTGTGATTTCTGTGCCAAAGAGTTCACCGGACAGACATTAGAGGTAAATCCAACATCCAATTAAATTCCATCATCTTCATTCTGGTAAACTAATTTATAAAGAAAGAGGATCTCAAAAGTAATAATAACAATTCTCTCCAATTTGTCACAAAAGTCTATTTAGAAGGTTTTACGATAAATTATTAATAATCATTTATTGTTATGCAGCAATAGTTAATGAAAACCGGTTAATAAATAATAACATTTTCAATTTTCACGTCCGAAAAATTGATGAAAATTACTCTTTTTCTTTTGCAAATGTAGGTAGTGTTGAGTCCCATTCATCTACATTAATTAAAATTTAATTCATATATCAATTTTGAGAATTTTCGGATTTTTTCAAAAATCGGTTCTCGGACGATAACTAAAAAAATGTTCTGAATTCATTGAATGATGGCTTCAAAAAATTGTTTCGATGTCCCTTTGACCGAATTTGAAGATGAAGGTGATAGGAATAATCGTTGTTTTGATTTATAGAATAATTTTCAGAAATTTCGAATTTTGTGTCAAATTTCTCTGAATGTGAATTTTTCGACGGTTTCTAAAAAATATGATGTTCCACATTCATTCATTTATGCATGAAAAGAGTTTTTCGAATACCATTTTATCCAAGTTTCAGAATACTATAGATAGCATTCTTTCATTCTTTCATTCTTCCATTTGATTTATACAAGAATTTTTACAAGACATCTAACATAATTGATTAAAGGAAAAATACAATTCACTTGAACAAAATAATATAAAACGATAAATGATGTACAATAGAAAAAAATTATGTGTAAAATTAGATAATTATGGAATTATCTCGATTATAAGTAGTTTCAGAAGAATATGCCAGATAGTTTCGATTGAAGACGATAGTATTAATCGTTGTTTTGATTTATAGAATAATTTTCAAAAATTTTTTTTTTTTTAAATGAGAATTTCGGAGATATCTTCGGATATCATGCTTCAAATCAATTCAATCATAGTTTAAAATATTTGTTTCAATGCCATCCTGTCGGAGTTGGTAGATCATTACGACAGCTGTATTCGTTGTTTTTATGTTTATGATGATTTTTGGAAATTTCGAATTTTTCTAGTTTCCCGAAAAGAGAATGTTCTGACGGTTTCTTCAAATATGTTTCAAATTCATTCAGTTATGCATGAAAAAAATTTTTCCAATACTTTTTTATTTAAGTTTCACGACAATACAGATAACATGCAGATAGTTCATTAAATTTATACAAGAAATCACAATTCTTACAAGAAATCTGACACAATTAATTTAGAAGAAATATAATTCAATCGAACGAAATAATATAAAACGATAAATGATATACGATAGAAGAGAATTATGTGCAAAATGATTATTCGGAGGCATATTGCTAATTTTCCACTTGTTCTTCTTTGATAATTTTGTTTTTCCATTTTTTTTCAACAAAAAGTGTTTTATTGTATTTCAGAAACACACAGGCACGTGTGGCTACGAGCCCCTCTACTGTGAGAACAAATGTGGAATGAAAATTCAGAGGCGGTATCTGGGCCAACACAAACTAGGCGAGTGTGCGAAGAGACTGGTGGCTTGCAGATACTGCAATAAGGAATTTGTATTCGACACATTGGGCACTCATCACACCAAGTGTGGAAGATTCCCTGTTGCGTGTCCTCATCGCTGCGAAACAGCTGTTCTACCCAGAGAAGACCTGGAGATTCATCTAAAGGATCACTGCACCACACATCTTCTCTCGTGTAGTTTCAAAGATGCTGGGTGTCGTTTTAAGGTGCATATAAATTTATTTTTTCGATTTTTTTCCCTTTCTGTTAACAATTTTATTTTGGAAATGAATAATTCATTTGAAAAAATAAAATGGTTTCATTCATTCAATTCATTCATTCAATTATTTATTTATTCTAAATTGATTTTCTGACAGAATCAAATCAAGGATTTATTTGATCCAAAAAATAAAGAGAGAGTTAAATTCTAGTTAAGTCTACTCTCTCGTTATCGAAATAATTTCATGATAGTTTCGCATTTATTTCTTAAAAAAAATCAATTCATAAAAAATGCAAATGAAAAATAATTATTTTATGAGTAATTTTATGAAAAATTATCAAGTGTTTTTTATCTATCTGAGGACATTCTCTGAAAGAAACATTTATTAATAATTTTTCGTAAATTAACTTACTGTCGAGGTAATGGTATATTCATGAAGATGTCCACATTGTTTAGCAGTTTATAATATTGAATTGGAATTTTTTTTCAGGGAAATCGTTTTTCGTTGGACAAGCACATGGAAGAATCCACGAAAATGCACCTGAGCCTGATGTGTAGTGTAGTAACAAAGCAGCAGCACCAAATAACGAGTCTAAAATCGGCGATGGGAAAACTGTCGCTGAATTACACGGGGACCTTAATATGGAAAATAAGTGATTACACAGCTAAAATGTCTGAGGCCAAGAACAAAGAGGGAATGGAACTCGTCAGTCCGCCCTTCTACACTAGTCAGTACGGCTACAAACTTCAGGTAAATTGCCTTCTCAATTCACTTATTGATCTCTCTTGCCTAATTTCTTTCTTATTTCCATTCTATTTATTTTCATTGCTTAATTGTGATTTTTTTCGTTCACGAAATTTCCAACAAAAATATTTTCACACATTCTTCCCAAAAATTATTCATTAGCGAGATTGTTTAATATTTAAGACATTGTAAAAATCAAATAGTATTTATTTATTCAAGTGTCAAGGGTTAACTAATTGAGATTAACAATATAGACATCATTGCAATTAATTCCTTGCATTCGTTAACAAATTGTAAAAATTCTGAACATATTCCATTCAAAATACCAATCAGAAACTCATTTAAATTATTTTAAACACAAATGTTGATCTATTCCTCATCATTACACGAATGGTGATTTCTTGTTTATACTAGAAAACTGTCTTTACCTATTCGAATTCCAAGAATTTCCAATGATATAAATTTTGAGGCACGAGCTCGTTCGATAGTTGGCGAACGAAAACATCATTATACAAATGAGATGACAATTAATTTTGTCTTTTTCATTCTGCAGGCATCAATTTTCCTCAATGGAAATGGCACAGGCGAAGGCAGTCATATGTCGATCTACATAAAGATCCTCCCCGGGGAGTACGACGCCCTCCTCCGCTGGCCCTTCTCCCACTCCGTATCGTTCACAATGTTCGATCAGACTGTCCAAGCCGACAAGGCCTGCAACATCGTCGAGAGCTTCATCCCTGATCCCACGTGGAAGAACTTTCAGAGGCCGAGTCGAGAGCCTGACTCCTTGGGCTTCGGCTTCCCTCGGTTCATCTCCCACGAGATGGTGAAGAAACGTCACTTCGTCAAGGACGACACCATGTTCATCAGGGTCAAAGTCGATCCCAGCAAAATTGTTGCTGTCTGATTCGACTCAGAAATCATCTGTCTATGGATTTTTTGGGTTTCAAGTTCGAGATTCTGTTTAAAATTCGTTTTTCAGTAGCTAATCAAGGAAATTCCGTTAGTTTTTTTTATTCCTGTAAAAAGTTGAGGTTTTCTGGGCAAAAAATATGAACAGAATGGAAAAATCAAGATCGATTCAGTGTTTCCTTGGAATGTTCTGCTTGGATTGAGTAAATTTCGTCAGGTTTCTTCATTTCTATTGAAAGTTTGGGATTTCGAGAGAAAAATATCGATGGAATTGAAACGCTAGGATCTATTATTTTTTCTATCAAGTTTTTTTAGTTGAAAATTTCTATAGAATGAGAGATCGCATGAAAAACTACGCAATTTTTCGTATAAATCGAGAGAAAATGAGAAATCTCCGACAAAATTTGGACAGAATTTTTCTCTTCAAGTTTTTCATATGTGTTCAGACAGAAAATTTAATCAATTGAAAAATGATAATTGATAGTAATAATTAGGAAAATGAGAATAATCATCGACGAAGATTTTCTATCGAGATTTCCTCATAAATCGACCAAATGTAAATATTATATTTCATTGTCTGTGCAGTTTTCATTTTCATCTGGAGAAATATCCATTAGTTTTTTTTCTATTTTTATTAAAACTTCAGTATTTCAGAGATTCCTAAAAATTATCAACAGAATAGAAAAATCAAAGTTTCTTTGCCTTTTTCTATCAAATATTTTTCTTTGAATATTTCTTCGGAATTAGAAACTAAACGAAAAACTACTTAATCTTTTGTATAAATCAATAAAAAATTCAGCGAAATTTCCGATAAAATTTCAATAGAATTTTTCTCTTGAAATTTAATTAATTGAAGAACGATAATTGATTATAATAATTAGGGAAATGAGAATAATCATCGAAGAGATTTCTTCATGAATCGACCAAATTTAAATATTATATTTCGTTGCCTGTACAATTTCCGTTTTAATACGAAGGAAATTGCATTACTTTTTCTTCGTCCCATTAAAACTCCAGAATTTCTATCGGGAAAGATCAAATACTATCTTCGAATATTTCTATAAAATGAGAAACTCCACGAAATACGAATTTCCATCGAAGTTTCAATATAATTTTTCTCTTGAATTTTTTCATACGTGATAGAAAGAAAAATTTAATCAGTTGTACAACTATAATTGATGATAATGATGAGGGAAATGCGAATAGCTATCGAAGAAAATTCACTATCAAAGAGATTTCCTGACGAATCCACCAAATGTAAATAGTATATTTCATTACCTGTACAGTTTTCATTTTTATACAAATGAAAATATCAGAGATGATCGAATAGATATGTGATTGAGTGATGCTAGTGACCGTATGTAAAGCAAAATGTAAGATAGAAACGTAAGTTTATTATACATATGAATAAATTCGACATTTTTTGATGAAACGGTGAATTTTTTTTTTCGTCCTCCAATCACCTGAGGAATGAATGAATTTGTGGAAAAAAGTTTGAGATTTTCAGCATTTTTTCCTAGAATTAGTAATTGCATGAGTGAATTGATGATTTTTAATGAAAATGCATTTAATTGTTGCTCTTAAATTTTAACTTAGGACATTATTTTTAGTTTTTTCATGTCTGTTGTATTTATTTTTCTTAATTTCCTGATGAACCCGACTGATGACTGTCCTGATAGGGTTGGGAACGTCTTCCGGCTTCTTCACTCTGAAAAATGATGAAACAAAAAATCAATGACCAGATGTATTTGTTATTCCAGTTGTGAAGTGGTAACTCGTGTTGGATCAATTGAACATCTCATATGAGAGTCTTCTGAACGACTGATACGATTTAGATGAATGAAATCTTATTTTTAAACTTGGAAAAATATTTTTTTTATGAAAAAAAATTGGAGATTTTCTTTGAGTAGATTTCGAGGTATTGGCAATGTTGCTCTAGCCTTTTTTTATTTAATTTTCCTCTATAATCAGTTTTTTTAGACATTTCAAAATTAGAGAGAGCTAGTAAATATTCTGTTAAGATATTTTTTAGTGGAGAAGAATAAGAGCTACAAAAAAACTTTATAAATCTTTCTATATCTTCATTAAATCATGAGAAATTCTGCAAGTAATTCGGGGAAAATTTAATTAACTTTATAATTTGTAGTCAATCAATTGCAATGTCATGATTTTTTGATAAATATTTTCATAAATTTATAAGAATTATGATAAATTATAAAAAAATACTTTCACAGCAATTGCAGAAGAATCCTTTACGATCTTAATATTTGACTAAGATCCTGAGGTATTTAAAGGAAACTTTGAGGGCTAATTGACTATTCGATGAACTCCACGAAGAGTTTTCGAAGAATTCCTCTGAATGTCATAGAAATAATTGTCAAAATCCTCTCTAATTTTTCAGTTCTCCCTTTTTCACTCCAAAAATTTCCACTTCTCAAATCCCGAAAAATTGTTCATCAAAAACAAAAACTAAAATCAAACTTGAATTCGATTCGTCTAGTCTTCATTCGTTTCACCACTTCGGCGATGTTCTGAATGAAATTAGAAGGATGAGAATGGATTTACCATTCGAATCCTTAAGAGTTGATCCATGGTATAATGCAATTATAAACAATTCCGGAAAGCTACAAAAAGTACTCTATGACTTCAATATCTGAATCGACTCTAGAGATATTTAACAAAAGCTTCGAGACCTTGGTAATTAATAATTAATTAACTATTCGACTATTCGATTAACTCCACGAAGAGTTTTCGAAGAATTTCTCTGAATGTCATAGAAATAATTTTCATAATCCTCTCTAATTTTGTAGTTCTCCCTTTTTCACTCCAAAAATTTCCACTTCTCAAATCCCGAAAAATTGTTCATCAAAAACAAAAACTAAAATCAAACTTGAATTCGATTCGTCTAGTCTTCATTCGTTTCACCACTTCGGCGATGTTCTGAATGAAATTAGAAGGATGAGAATGGATTTACCATTCGAATCCTTAAGAGTTGATCCATGGTATAATGCAATTATAAACAATTCCGGAAAGCTACAAAAAGTACTCTATGACTTCAATATCTGAATCGACTCTAGAGATATTTAACAAAAGCTTCGAGACCTTGGTAATTAATAATTAATTAACTATTCGACTATTCGATTAACTCCACGAAGAGTTTTCGAAGAATTTCTCTGAATGTCATAGAAATAATTTTCATAATCCTCTCTAATTTTGTAGTTCTCCCTTTTTCACTCCAAAAATTTCCACTTCTCAAATCCCGAAAAATTGTTCATCAAAAACAAAAACTAAAATCAAACTTGAATTCGATTCGTCTAGTCTTCATTCGTTTCACCACTTCGGCGATGTTCTGAATGAAATTAGAAGGATGAGAATGGATTTACCATTCGAATCCTTAAGAGTTGATCCATGGTATAATGCAATTATAAACAATTCCGGAAAGCTACAAAAAGTACTCTATGACTTCAATATCTGAATCGACTCTAGAGATATTTAACAAAAGCTTCGAGACCTTGGTAATTAATAATTAATTAACTATTCGACTATTCGATTAACTCCACGAAGAGTTTTCGAAGAATTTCTCTGAATGTCATAGAAATAATTTTCATAATCCTCTCTAATTTTGTAGTTCTCCCTTTTTCACTCCAAAAATTTCCACTTCTCAAATCCCGAAAAATTGTTCATCAAAAACAAAAACTAAAATCAAACTTGAATTCGATTCGTCTAGTCTTCATTCGTTTCACCACTTCGGCGATGTTCTGAATGAAATTAGAAGGATGAGAATGGATTTACCATTCGAATCCTTAAGAGTTGATCCATGGTATAATGCAATTATAAACAATTCCGGAAAGCTACAAAAAGTACTCTATGACTTCAATATCTGAATCGACTCTAGAGATATTTAACAAAAGCTTCGAGACCTTGGTAATTAATAATTAATTAACTATTCGACTATTCGATTAACTCCACGAAGAGTTTTCGAAGAATTTCTCTGAATGTCATAGAAATAATTTTCATAATCCTCTCTAATTTTGTAGTTCTCCCTTTTTCACTCCAAAAATTTCCACTTCTCAAATCCCGAAAAATTGTTCATCAAAAACAAAAACTAAAATCAAACTTGAATTCGATTCGTCTAGTCTTCATTCGTTTCACCACTTCGGCGATGTTCTGAATGAAATTAGAAGGATGAGAATGGATTTACCATTCGAATCCTTAAGAGTTGATCCATGGTATAATGCAATTATAAACAATTCCGGAAAGCTACAAAAAGTACTCTATGACTTCAATATCTGAATCGACTCTAGAGATATTTAACAAAAGCTTCGAGACCTTGGTAATTAATAATTAATTAACTATTCGACTATTCGATTAACTCCACGAAGAGTTTTCGAAGAATTTCTCTGAATGTCATAGAAATAATTTTCATAATCCTCTCTAATTTTGTAGTTCTCCCTTTTTCACTCCAAAAATTTCCACTTCTCAAATCCCGAAAAATTGTTCATCAAAAACAAAAACTAAAATCAAACTTGAATTCGATTCGTCTAGTCTTCATTCGTTTCACCACTTCGGCGATGTTCTGAATGAAATTAGAAGGATGAGAATGGATTTACCATTCGAATCCTTAAGAGTTGATCCATGGCATGAGGTAGAAGGGGTCTCGCGCCGTTCAACTCCATGGCTGTGAGATTATTCAGCATGGCATGCACTGCACTGTGATCCCTGAAGAGTTCGTCGATGGAGGTTCGCAGTTTGGACATCCTCATGTCCCAGATGTCCTTGATAGCAGTTCTTATGTTATCGACGTGGGGAATGTCGTCGGAGGCAGCTCCCAAGAGGATGTGGGCCTCGTCCATATAGTGGTCGTGAGGCATTTCAGTGAATACTCTACATGATGGGGAAAATTACATCGAGTTATTAACTGTTACTCGTGTTTTCTCCTCGAGAAAAAATCTTGAATACCTATTCACACAGCTACGGGTTAAGAAAATGATCAAGTTGATGATTGTAGGGGGGGGGGGGGTTAACACCGAGTGTTAACATAACACCGACACGTCAACGCTTTTCGGCGCTTATGAGTGATTTCATCGGAAAATATTTATAAAAAATTAGTAGGGAACTTTTTTAGCTATAAAAGAGGATCTTTTGTCGTTTTTTTTTCTGAAGCTATTTGTTTTCAAGTTAATTACTCAGTTAACGAATTGGAAAATATTAATTCAATTCTAGAGAAGTTGATGATGCTTTCCACATTATCATGCAAATATCTCTCGAAGAAAGAGTTCCAGAAAAATTCAACAGCTTTATTGCCGATTATTTTCCCCATGCCACGTATGAAAAAATCGTATAGAAATTTTCTATACGGATTACGTATAGAAATTCTATAGGATTTCCGTATATGATATTCGGATATTTCTATACGAATATTTTCTATACGAATTATTTCTACACATAAATTTTTACATAAATATTTGTTTTCATACGAAAGATGTCTAAACGCTCCAGAGAAAAAGGTAAAAAAATGTCGCAACTCCATACGAAATGTTTCTATACATGTGGCAGTGGGTCGTATAGGATCAAACCTATAGAAATCGTATAGAAATAATTTGTATAAAAAATATCCGTATAGAAATATCCGAATATCATATACGAAAATCCTATACAAATTCTATACGCAATCCGTATAGAGAATTTCTATACGATTTTTTCATACATGCAAGGGAGAAAGTTGGTATATTTTGAAACCTTTATACCTGCCTGACCCTTATCAGAGTTTTGTAGCTAGAAATGGTGATACATGATAAGGGCCTGAAGGGTCAGGTCGGTCATAAGGTCCATATGTAAATCCCCATACAGGAGCCCTCATGTATAGAATTCTGAATCTTATTAGGAGTTCTTATAGCTGGAAATGATGATAAATGACATGGGTCAGAAGGACGTGGATTATAAGGCTCATATGTAAAATCCCATTTAGGGGCCTTATATGTAAGATTTTTACCTACCTAACCCTGATCCAAATTGTGTATCATAATTTGATACAGCTAAAAATGAAAATATATGAGAAGGGCCTGAAGGGTCAGAAAGATGTAGATCATAGGACTCATATGACCCATAAGACCCCATATTGGGGTCTTATAATACAATTATAAGGCCCTTATATTAGGGGCCCTATGAGCCCTTATATAGGACTCATAGGACCCATAAGACCCCATATTGGGGTCTTATAATATAATTATAAGGCCCTTATATTAGGGGCCTTATAATTTAGGGGCCTAAATCCTGACCCTTTTTCAAATTTTGTAGCCCGAAATGATGATACATGATAAAGGTCAGATGGGTCATAAGGCCCATATGTAAATCCCCATACAGGAGCCCTCATGTATAGAATTCTGAATCTTATTAGGAGTTCTTATAGCTGGAAATGATGATAAATGACATGGGTCAGAAGGACGTGGATTATAAGGCTCATATGTAAAATCCCATTTAGGGGCCTTATATGTAAGATTTTTACCTACCTAACCCTGATCCAAATTGTGTATCATAATTTGATACAGCTAAAAATGAAAATATATGAGAAGGGCCTGAAGGGTCAGAAAGATGTAGATCATAGGACTCATATGACCCATAAGACCCCATATTGGGGTCTTATAATACAAATATAAGGCCCTTATATTAGGGGCCCTATGAGCCCTTACATAGGACTCATGACCCATAAGACCCCATATTGGGGTCTTATAATATAATTATAAGGCCCTTATATTAGGGGCCTAGATCCTGACCCTTTTTCAAATTTTGTAGCCCGAAATGATGATACATGATAAAGGTCAGATGGGTCATAAGGCCCATTTATAAGACCTCATATAGGGGTCCTCATGTATAAGACTGACCCTTATCAGAATTTTATATAGCCACAAATGATGATAAATGATAAGGGTCTGAGGGGTCATAAGGCCCATATTGAGACCCCATGTAGGGAACCTCAAATTCAAGATCCTGACCCTTCCGACCCTCATCTTCTTTTCTCGTGCGTATGTCACATTCCCATAAGCCAATTTAGAATTTTATGATATGAATAAACCGTTGCCTTAAAAAAATTTAATTTCCTCCTAAAAATTAGAAATATTAAATATCCACTCACTTCGACAGTTTTTCATTCTCCTTCAGTACCTCGAGATTCTCAGGCTCCATCCATTCGGGACAAACAATTCGACACTTCTGTCGCTGTTTGAGATTGACAGCCAGCCATATGGGCACCCTCACCGGCAGTCCCGCTCTGAACGGCCCGACACTTCCAGATATTAAATGAATGGGGTCGAAATTGAAATTGGGAACGATACTGACTAGTCTCTTCTCCCCGAGAAACTCAATTTCGCAGGGTTCCATATTCAATGTTATTTATTTTTCCCTTTAAATGAAGCCACAATTACTTGGAATAACCGACTTGTTGCGTGGACCAGGTGATATGAGGCCATGTGAGACCCGAAATGCGCGGGAAAATTTGCGCCATCTAGTTCAGAACGGGCGGGATAAAATGGATTTTTTTTTCATTTCAATTGTTAAAAAAAAAACAAAACGATTGAGATGACTTTTTTAAAATTTTATTCATGAAGAAATCCTGAGAATTTAACGAATTTTATGGAATTTCATTAGCTCTTTCACTATCAGACGGAGGATATCCGGTCCAATCCATTAGAGTCCCATTGGTATGGGTCATTTCCTCACTTCGGTAATCATTAATTAGGGAACTAAGACTGCATCAAAAGAAGATATCAATTTTTCAGGTTTTGAGAAGTTTTCATTTCTCTCGATATATGAGTGATTTCATCAGAAAATGTTTGTAAAATATTAGTAGGCAACTTTTTTAGCTCTAAAAGAGGATCTTTTGTCGTTTTTTTCTAAAACTATTCATTTTCGAGTTAATTACTCAGTGAAAGAATTCTCAAGTCTAATTCAATTCTAGAGAAGTTGATGATGAATCTCCACATTATCTTGCAAATATCTCTCGAAGAAAGCGTTCCAGAAAAATTCAACAGCTTTATTGCAGATTATTTTCCCCATCCAAATTTCAACCAATAGAATTGCACTATTCGACGTCACGTGGTATAACCTAAATGATTTTTAACTGAAAATTTTCTCAGCTGTGCAGAACTTTTTTATTTCATTTTCTTCTGAAACCACTTGTTCCCGAGATGAATGCACAACAATCAAATCTTTAAAAACTTCACTGCAACAAAGAGGCGCAGAGAACTTTAACAAGAGACCTTTATTGTAGATTATTTTTTCCGTCGAAATTTCAACCAATAGAATTGCACCATTCGATGTCACGTGGTACCTAAATGATTAACTGAGAATTTTCGCAACTGTAAAGAACTTTTTTATTTCATTCTCTCCTGAAACCACTTGTGTTTTAAATAACTGCATGGCAAACAAATGTGGAAAATTCCTCAAATAAAAAATTACAGACGAAACTCATCATTTATTCCATTAAAGTAAAGTTTACTTAATTGACGAGTAATAATTTACGATCGATAAAAATAAAGTTTACTTATTTTACTTACAAAAAAAAGGTATTTCATCCCCTGTATGCAATTCCCTCAAGAAGGGACAGAATACATAATTTTTACGGGACCAACTTCAGTGATAGGCATATCAATCAATCATAATTACCGTCAAATTGTGAAGTTGTCAATTTTTAACATAAATCTTAAAAATTTTAAACATGAAAATAACCATCAATTTGTACATTTCAATTTCGAAATATTCTATCAACCAATAATTTAGGTAGGAAGATTGACGATTATTTGGATAATCGAAAATCAAGTGCCTAAAGTTAGAATTAGCTAATTAACTAAAAATTACATTTCAAATATTTTTTTTACCATCAATCGAAAAGTTTAGCTAATAACACGCACGAAAAAATTCAATAGAAAAACCTATCGTATTCGTTAGAAAATTCTATGGAATTTCTACTAAACTTTCTATTAGTTTTTGGCTGATTCTATTAACATGTTCAATAGAAAACATTCAATGGAAGAAATCAACAGAATTCGATTTTTCTATATAACTTATTCTCTTCATATATTTTCTATAGAATTTGCTCGACTCAAATTTTCAAAGCTTTTTTCATTCTATTTTTCTTTTCTTCTCGTCAAAAAAATCAAACGAAAAAACTTAAATTTGAGCCGAGGAAATTCTATAGGAAATATCTCAACAGAATAAGTTATGCAGAAAAATTGAATTCTATTGACTTTTTCTACTGAATATTTACTATTGAACGTTTTATTGTAATTATGGGATTTATCAGGATGAAAGTCAATGAAAACAGAGAGTNGGAAGAAATCAACAGAATTCGATTTTTCTATATAACTTATTCTCTTCATATATTTTCTATAGAATTTGCTCGACTCAAATTTTCAAAGCTTTTTTCATTCTATTTTTCTTTTCTTCTCGTCAAAAAAATCAAACGAAAAAACTTAAATTTGAGCCGAGGAAATTCTATAGGAAATATCTCAACAGAATAAGTTATGCAGAAAAATTGAATTCTATTGACTTTTTCTACTGAATATTTACTATTGAACGTTTTATTGTAATTATGGGATTTATCAGGATGAAAGTCAATGAAAACAGAGAGTTAGGTAAAACTGAACTATTTATTTGAGAGGTCTTCATGCCTCTTCTCTCCTCGAGAGACTGACTCCTTAGAGAGAAACTGCAGTGCTCCTTTGCCGTTTCGCCTCCATGGTTTCCCTTGTCACCATGTGTCGGACAAGGGTCCGTTGTTCTTGAAATTTGTGTGTGTAAGGGACACAGGCCCCACATATATATAAACCGCTCGTAAAAGAAAATCCTGGGAAAGAGAAAATAATTTGGAATGTACGACGCAGTAGAGAAGTAAACAGTTGAGTGATTTTGTAAATTCCAATACATTTCAATAGAATCCGCCAAAAACTAATAGAAATTCAATAGAATGTTCTAACGAATTCGATAGGTTTTTCTATTAAATTTTTTCGTCCGTGAAATTCTGTAATATTTAAAATTTGTTAAATAGAGTTAAACTTTGAACAATATAAGGAGATGATCCTTTTTAATATTGTCAAAATCTAATATTATTGCCTATCCCTGACCAACTTCCTGGACATCAAATCCCCTCATGAGTGTGTTCTGCACCCCCCACCCCTCAATCCTCAATACTTCCTAAACATTGACACTCTTCTCGATGATGATCTCGTCCTCCCTCAGATAAAGTACATGACTCTCGAACCCCTCCTGCATCTCCACCCTCACCTCCTCCCCCAAATCCTCGCAACCCTCACCCCCTTCCCCTCTGTCGTCGGTACGAACCAACCCCTGCTGACAATTCCTGGCCTGTCCACTCCCCGGTGTCGAGTTGGTCCCGCTATCCACCCCCTCACCCCCCGGCAAAACCATCGTCACCCCCGTGACGCCCCCCGGACCGTTCTTCCTGCTGGCGATCAACGACGCCCGCACCTTCTTCTGCGAGGCAACACTCGCCCGCAGTTCACCCCCAGCATTCCCACTCTTCCCCTTGACTCTCCCGGGAAATAAAAAACCGCAGATGAAGGCCTTCAGCGCAGCTCTAAAGTCCTTCAAATGATAAGCGTAGAGAATGGGATTCCCCACCGAATTCACGTGTGACAAAATAATACTAAAATTGAGAACGAAATCACTGACGTCGCAGTCGGGGCAGAAGGCCTTGACGCAGTTGATGGTGTAGAGAGGAAACCAGCAGATGATGAAGAATATGACGATTCGCGAGAGATTCTGGGTCGCCTTGACTTCTCTCTTCTGAGCGGCTCCTAGGAGACGCAGCATCATCGGTCCTGATGACGAGTCGTTGCTCATCAGCTTGACTTTGCACTTGTGGCTCTTTGATTTTGGCCCGGTGGGGTTGATCGGCTTCATCGGCATCATCTGCTGCAACTAATTATGAAGTATTGGGATTACGAGAGAATGAGAGGGAGGGCTTTGAGTACCTGTTGGATGACGACGCGGTAGATGTGGGCGTAGAAGGCGGCGATGAGGAAGGCCGGGAAGATTATGGTGGCGAAGTAGAGGAAGACGAGATAGTTGTAATCCATAACTTCTACAAAGATGCATTTCTCGTCGGTTTTTTTAATGCCCGAGTTCCAGCCGAGGAGGGGGAGGAAGCCCACGAGGGTACCGGCGATCCAGCAGACGCAGATTATTCCTGGGGGAGGAGGTGGGAGATTCATTTTATGAGGGATTAGATCGAACATTTTGGGGTAAATGTTTGCGGAGGGGCCTGCGTTGGAAAATTATTGTCGTTAAGGGGAGACTACACTATGAGTTTTAAAAGTTGTGGGCGATTGGAGTGAGATTTCTCATACATTGAAGATCCATTGCATATGTCTAAAAACCAATAATTAGTGCAAAAAATTAATTGTTTATTGTTCGTTTGCTTCGCACACGCTTGTGCTTTTCAAAAATGAAACAATTTTTACGTTTTTTTTCTGGTAATTTTTATTGAATTTTTCTCTCCGTGTTGAAGTGGCTCGAAGCCCTATCAATGAAAATATCCGCCAAAAATATCAGAAATAGTTGGATTTTCAAATTTTTAGTCCGAAACGTCGGGCCGTGTACCGTGTACAAACAAATTTTTAGAAAAACCGGCTAATTTATTTCCATAATTATCTTGAAAAATTGCTGCGGTCAAGACTTTTTTAATCGTCTAATTTCGGATGAAAGGAAGAGAAATATGATATGTTTAAAAACGAATAATTAGTGTAAAAAACTAATTGTTTATTGTTCGTTTGCTTCGCACACGCTTGTGCTTTTCAAAAATGAAACAATTTTTACGTTTTTTTTCTGGTAATTTTTATTGAATTTTTCTCTCCGTGTTGAAGTGGCTCGAAGCCCTATCAATGAAAATATCCGCCAAAAATATCATAAATAGTTGGATTTTCAAATTTTTAGTCCGAAACGTCGGGCCGTGTACCGTGTACAAACAAATTTTTAGAAAAACCGGCTAATTTATTTCCATAATTATCTTGAAAAATTGCTGCGGTCAAGACTTTTTTAATCGTCTAATTTCGGATGAAAGGAAGAGAAATATCATATGTTTAAAAACGAATAATTAGTGTAAAAAACTAATTGTTTATTGTTCGTTTGCTTCGCACACGCTTGTGCTTTTCAAAAATGAAACAATTTTTACGTTTTTTTTCTGGTAATTTTTATTGAATTTTTCTCTCCGTGTTGAAGTGGCTCGAAGCCCTATCAATGAAAATATCCGCCAAAAATATCATAAATAGTTGGATTTTCAAATTTTTAGTCCGAAACGTCGGGCCGTGTACCGTGTACAAACAAATTTTTAGAAAAACCGGCTAATTTATTTCCATAATTATCTTGAAAAATTGCTGCGGTCAAGACTTTTTTAATCGTCTAATTTCGGATGAAAGGAAGAGAAATATGATATGTTTAAAAACGAATAATTAATGCAAAAAAATTAATTGTTTGTGTTAATTTTTCAAAAATGAAACATAATTTTTACGTTTTCTTTCTGGTAATTTTTATTGAATTTTTCTCTCCGTGTTGAAGTGGCTCGAAGCCCTATCAATGAAAATATCCGCCAAAAATATCATAAATAGTTGGGTTTTCAAATTTTTAGTCCGAAACGTCGGGCCGTGTACCGTGTACAAACAAATTTTTAGAAAAACCGGCTAATTTGTTTCCATAATTATCTTGAAAAATTGCTACGGTCAAGACTTTTTTAATCGTCTAATTTCGGATGAAAGGAAGAGAAATATGATATGTTTAAAAACGAATAATTAGTGCAAAAAACTAATTGTTTATTGTTCGTTTGCTTCGCACACGCTTGTGCTTCTCAAAAACGAAACATAATTTTTACGTTTTCTTTCTGGTAATTTTTATTGAATTTTTCTCTCAGTGTTGAAGTGGCTCGAAGCCCTATCAATGAAAATATCCGCCAAAAATATCATAGATAGTTGGATTTTCAAATTTTTAGTCCGAAACGTCGGGCCGTGTACCGTGTACAAGCAAATTGTTAGAAAAACCGTCTAATTTGTTTCCATAATTATCTTGAAAAATTGCTACGGTCAAGACTTTTTTAATCGTCTAATTTCGGCTGAAAGGAAGAGAAATATGATATGTTTAAAAACGAATAATTAATGCAAAAAAATTAATTGTTTGTGTTAATTTTTCAAAAATGAAACATAATTTTTACGTTTTCTTTCTGGTAATTTTTATTGAATTTTTCTCTCCGTGTTGAAGTGACTCGAAGCCCTATCAATGAAAATATCCGCCAAAAATATCATAAATAGTTGGGTTTTCAAATTTTTAGTCCGAAACGTCGGGCCGTGAACCGTGTACAAGCAAATTGTTAGAAAAACCGTCTAATTTGTTTCCATAATTATCTTGAAAAATTGCTACGGTCAAGACCTTTTTAATCGTCTAATTTCGGATGAAAGGAAGAGAAATATCATGTGTTGACATTATCGATAATGGGAATAGAGGCGTGTGCATGTGTCATTGCGGCAAGTTGCAGTCAGATAGTCCACTGGAAACGCATGTTCGTGTTTGAACTCAGCGACTCGACGGAGGATAATTGAGATGAGCTTGATTAACTCATTAGCGAAGTGGGACAACGTAGTAAGTCGAATATGAGGTTCCTGTTGCATGTGGAATTATCGAGGTGAGGATTCATCAACGGGAAAATGTCACGAGACTTTTTTCGAAATTGAGGAAATTCTGGGTAAAAAATAACTCCTGGAATAACTCCTGTCATTACGGAAATAGTTTGAGATTAACGAAATATGAATAATCGATTTAATATTTCTTCTAAATTGAGATTTCTATGGAACTGCAGTGGAATGTTTTTTTAAATGTTTGTTTATGTATTTCACTGAAATTAATCGTTATTAAGACAATGTAACAATTTAACAAGGGATAAAACGACTTGAGGAAAAAAAGTTGTAATAAAAATTGAATCGACAAAATGGTTTGTGAGTTTTTATAGAGTTATTCTGTTTAAAAATTTGATCCTTGTTAAGCTTCGAACCAACATTTCTGGCTCCAAATAAAGACTTATTTGATGTTTTCTTGCCTCCGCAGGAAATATAAATTTTCTAATAATAAATCATCATCTATTTTCATTTATCACTTTATATTAGTTTTCTAAATTGAATTATATTTCTTCTTTAATCAATTGTGTTAGATTTCTTGTGAAAATGTTTGTATACACGGACGAAAAATTTGATAGAAAAACCTATAGAATTCGTTAGTAAATTCTATTGAACTGTTCTATTAGTTTTCGGCCGATTCTATTGAAATGTTCAATAGAAAATATTCAGTAGAAAAAGTCAATAGAATTCAATTTTTCTGTATAACTTATTCTATTGAGATATTTTCTATAGAATTTCCTGGGCGCCAATTTTTCAAATTTTCTCGTTTGATTTTCTTGATGAGAAGAAAAGAAAAATAGAATGAAAAAAACTTGGAAAATTTGAGTCGAGCAAATTCTGTAGAAAATATCTCAATAGAATAAATTGTATAGAAAAATTGAATTCTGTTGACTTTCTCTACTGAATATTTTCTATTGAACATTTTTCAGTAGAATTGGCCAAAAACTAATAGAACAGTTCAACAGAAATTCAACAGAATTTTCTAACGAATTCGATGGATTTTTCCATTACATTTTTTGTAAACTGCCCAGTAGATGGACGTTTGTTTTTTAGCAATTGGAAAAAAAAATTGATCGAAAAAAAATCGTCACTCAAGGGTTAAGAATCCCAACAGTTAGTGAAAATTCAAAGCAACAATTCACATTTCAGTATTTTTTTGCGTAATTTCTTATCTAAAAGTAGCTCGTCCATCTATAGGGCAGTGTCCATCTACTGGGTAGCTTACACGGAAAAAAATTTTTTTAGAAAAATTCTAGTGCTAGCACGGGAAAAGAGGCGCAAAGTGACGGCCAGGAAAAAATTTCAGTGCCGGCACTAGAAATTTTATTGGGGAACACGTGAATTTTTCCCCGTATTTCTGTGAAAATTTCACAGAAAACCCCCGAAATTTTATCAGAAATACCAAGAAATTTTACCTTAAGGCTGTCAAGTGAATTTGAAAAAAGATTTTTAAAAAATTTTTTCTTTCCCTCCATCATTGGAGAAATATGTATTCATCCATCCGACGAAATTTCAAACCCGCAACCGGAACTAGACATCGAGAAAATAAATGCGGAAAATCCTCTATTTCGCGTGACGAACCTCGAGAAAGCATGGGATCAAATGGGTACGGCGGGTTGAAATATCTCTCTTATTCACCCCGGTACCCCATTGTTTTTTGTCGCCATCACATTGAACACATCATTCCCCATATCTTCAAATTTTTTCAAATTTTTCTTGAGTTCCTAGGGGGTTGAAACGTTCAATTTAATCAAAACTCCCTAAGAGTCCGTGTATAAGATTGATTTTGTTTATTTAATTTCTCGATATCCATAAGTTCTAAAATTTTAAAATTGTCACCGATGTTCACCATCTGTCTAATACTATTAATTAAAAAAATTATTTTTGTTGGTGAATGTCAATTTTCAAGGTCATCGCCAAATTCACTTGGCACCCTTAACAGCACTGGAATTTTTCGCAGCCGGTGGATTGTGATTTTTTCCAGTACTCGTACTGGAATTTTTCTAGAAAATTTCTCTCCGTGTATCCTGTCCTCATCACTCACAATAAGCAAAAACAAAATTCTTCCAATCCCTCATTATCGATCAACCCACCCGCCCCCGCAGCTCATGTTCCACCTGTCATCGGAAGCCTCAACACCCGCCCATGGGAAATTAAACGTCAAGTACCTATAGCTGTTTTGGTGCGTACATTCCTGGAGTAGCCCATCGGATAGAGTATCGCCCAGTACCTGTCGATGGACACCGCAACCAGGCAGAATATGCTTATCGTGCACAAAACAACGAGCACCGACACCGTGAACAGGCAGGCATAGAGGTTCGTCGGCAGGCCAATGCTGGCGAGAACAGCGAAGGGAATGGCGAAGAGTCCCACCAGGAGATCGGCCGATGCCAGCGAAATGATGTAGTAATTGGTCCTTCGCCTCAGCTTCTTGTCCCTGCTGAAGACCGTGATGACCAGGCCATTCCCCACTACCGCACACACCGCCACGACAATCTCGCAGACAGCGTACGGCAGGTTCAGCTCAGCCTTCTCCGAGGATTTGTAGTAATTTTTATGAATCGATGATTCACTCGAGTTCACATCGTAAGAACTCATTCTTCCACGGGTTTCAGTCTTCTCTTTCGCTTCTTAGACGACTTTTCGATTATTTTTAGATGGTGAAGACGGTGGATTGGTAATTGCTGACACATTATTCCCGGTCTTACCCATTAGATGTTAATTATGAGATTGGTTTATTTAGCTATTAGCCGAGTGACATTAACTGACTGGAGAGGTTTTGCGGGCAAATTTCTCCGAATTTTTTCATTAGTTTCATGATGGAGCTCTAGTTGCTTGAGATTGAGTTCGTTAATTATTTCTTCTGTTATTCAGTTTTTCGATTTTTTTTGTAAAGCTTCACTGTCACTTCCACAATTTTACGTCTTTGGGATATCACGGGCGGGAAACATTTTTATTTCGGAGTAGATTAATTTTAGATTTACAAGAAGTAAATTAATTTTGTCGCGCAGTTGCGGTTTTAATCGAGACACTAAATTTTTGGTTTAATTTGGGGGGAGCATGCGATTTGATTGTTATTGCGTCACTTCATGGTTTTAGTTCAAGATCAATTTTATTTTTCTTAGAGATGGAAAAAGTTTTTGAGGAATTGAATTTTACGTTGGGCTGTTTCGGGGATTTTTACAAAGAAGGAATTATTTAATTTTTAGTGCATCATTTGTGTTTTAATTTAAAACTGAAATTCGTATTTCAATTTAAATGAAATCACTCGCCGGGAAACTTTGAGAGGATTTCCAGTTTTATTTCTTTTTTTAAGAAGAAATAATTGAGTTGATTTCGTATCACTTCCGTTTCACTTCAACATTAGAATTTGACATTCAATTTTAAATGGGTTTGATTCGGGAATTTTTTCGAAGAAGAAATAATTTAATTGTTACTTCATCACTTCTGTTTTAATTAAAAACTCAAATTCGTCTGTCAATTTAAAAGACCACACTCCTGCATGTCGTAGAAACATCAAGAGAATTTTCTGTTTTATTTCCTTTTTAAAGAAAAAATAACTGAATTATTATCGTATGACTTTCATTGCGATTAAAATTTAAAAATCGTCTTCAATCAAAAAGACAAAAACAAAAAAAAATGTGTGGAATAGTTTTAAAGAAGAAATAATTTAATTGCTGTTGCAATACTTCTGTTTTAATTAAACACTCAAATTCGTCTGTCAATGTAAAACACCACACTCCTGCATGTCGTAGAAATATCAAGAGAATTTCCTGTTTTATTCAATTTTTTAAAGAAGAAATAACTGAATTATTATCGTATCACTTTTATTTCAATTAAAATTTAAAAATCGTCCTTTAAGCAAGAAGAGAAAAACAAAAAAGTGGGTAGAATAGTTTTAAAGAAGAAATCATTTAATTGCTATTGCATCACTTCTGTTTTAATTAAAAACTAAAATTTGTCTTTGAATTTAAAAGAAAACACTAAACATCAAGAGGACTTCCTGTTTTATTTCCTTGTTTAAAGAAAAAATGACTGAATTATTATCGCATCACTTCCATTTCGATTAAAAGTTAAAATTCGCCTGTTCCATCCATTCGAGAAAAAAAGACAAAAAAAATTATGTGGAACAATTTTAAAGAAGAAATAATTGAATTGTTATCAAATCACTTCCGTTTTAATTCAAAACTTGAATTCATCTCCTACTTCAGAAGAAGAAAAAATTGAATGGAATAGGAATTGAACAAATCACCACGTGTTGTTGATAATATTAATATTATAGTTTGAATACAACGAGAGGGACTCGACTGCGTTCCTCTCTGGCATGATACTGACTACCGCGGCGACTGATCTTGGCCTCGCATGGGGATCGAGAAGCGACGCACGTCGCCGTGGTGCGATGCCCCACAAACTATTGAAACATCTATTTTCGAGGAAATTTTTTTAATTTTTTTAATGCAAATATCTGACAAATGGCTGAAGTCCGGTTGCACCAGGTCCAGTAAACAAAATCCTCAGTTAAGGAGAGACTACTATGAGTTTTAAAAATCGCGGGCGATTGGTGAGATCTCTGATGATATATGTCTAAAAATAAATAATTAGCGCAAAAAAATTGATTGTTTATTGTTCGTTTGCCCCGCACAAGCAGAAAATGTTGAAAATAGTACAGGGCCTCCAATTTTTGAGCTTCAGAGGTTTCTTTTTATTCAAAATTTTTGAAAATATATGCGCAATAATAATTACGAATTGGTTTTTTGAAATTTGACTCCTTCACAACTAATTTTGTTTTGTTTAAAATAAAAATTTGCGCCATTCATATCAGTAGCGAAGTGGTAAAACGGTTTAAGTCGACTCATCTCCCAGTAGAGTTTTTGAAGAATATTTCCGAAACTAAGCGAGATAGCGGAATTTTTATGATTACTTTTCTTGTAGCATTCAATCGGCTCTACAAAAAAGGTTATACCAAAAATTTTGCTATCTCCCTTAGATTCCGAGATATTCATTGAAAACTGGTCAATAGTCGAGATTGACTTGTACCGTTTTACCACTTCGCTACTGATATGTAGCTTTTTCGAGAGTTCGATCATGAGATCCTCTGGAATTTTCCACAAGACAACACCGAACAAACGCCAGAGTCAAAAATTATGTCTACAAAGAGGTATATCTTTCAGTAAATGGTATATATATTTATGTCTGTTATGTTTTCCATCGATAACGCCCGCATAATTAACATTGAATTATTTTCTGATCTTCGATACCAACATCATTTCCAACAGAACATGTGTTGATCCTCAATTGAAGTTTTCATGGATTTCGACGTTTCGACTGATTCTCGATGGAAATTTCCATCCCTTTTCAATAAAAAAAAATTCATGGATTTTCAAAAGAAGTTTTCATCATTTCCCATGAATTTCTCCTCAGTATTACTATAGAAATTTATATAAGTCAAATAGGATACTGATTCAAATCAACTTACAATAATAACGTGACGAATCATATAAAATTAATTATAGTGAAAGGCGCGCGGAGCGCGCCTTCGATCTCATCATAGAAAAAAATGATGTGCAAAGTATCCATTCCATTGCTAATTTGTTAGAAAAACTATCTACGTTCTATGAAGATAAAAGCAATTTCCTGCAAGTATTCCTGACCAAAGATTACCAAAATTTTCAACATCAGAAAATCTGTTGATCCTCAATTGAAGTTTTCATGGATTTCGACGTATCGCCGACTGATTCTCGATGGAAATTTCCATCCCTTTCCAATAAAAAAAAATTCATGGATTTTCAAAAGAAGTTTTCATCATTTCCCACGAATTTCTCCTCAGTATTACTATCGAATTTTATATACGTCAAATAGGATACTGATTCAAATCAACTTACAATAATAACGTGACGAATCATATTAAATCAATTATAGTGAAAGGCGCGCGGAGCGCGCCTTCGAACTCGTCATAGAAAAAAAATGATGTGCAAAGTATCCATTCTATTGCTAATTTGTTAGAAAAACTATCTACGTTCTATGAAGATAAAAGCAATTTCCTGCAAGTATTCCTGACCAAAGATTACCAAAATTTTCAACATCAGAAAATCTGTTGATCCTCAATTGAAGTTTTCATGGATTTCGACGTATCGCCGACTGATTCTCGATGGAAATTTCCATCCCTTTCCAATAAAAAAAAATTCATGGATTTTCAAAAGAAGTTTTCATCATTTCCCACGAATTTCTCCTCAGTATTACTATAGAATTTTATATACGTCAAATAGGATACTGATTCAAATCAACTTACAATAATAACGTGACGAATCATATAAAATTAATTATAGTGAAAGGCGCGCGGAGCGCGCCTTCGATCTCATCATAGAAAAAAATGATGTGCAAAGTATCCATTCTATTGCTAATTTGTTAGAAAAACTATCTACGTTCTATGAAGATAAAAGCAATTTCCTGCAAGTATTCCTGACCAAAGATTACCAAAATTTTCAACATCAGAAAATCTGTTGATCCTCAATTGAAGTTTTCATGGATTTCGACGTATCGCCGACTGATTCTCGATGGAAATTTCCATCCCTTTCCAATAAAAAAAAATTCATGGATTTTCAAAAGAAGTTTTCATCATTTCCCACGAATTTCTCCTCAGTATTACTATCGAATTTTATATACGTCAAATAGGATACTGATTCAAATCAACTTACAATAATAACGTGACGAATCATATAAAATTAATTATAGTGAAAGGCGCGCGGAGCGCGCCTTCGATCTCATCATAGAAAAAAATGATGTGCAAAGTATCCATTCTATTGCTAATTTGTTAGAAAAACTATCTACGTTCTATGAAGATAAAAGCAATTTCCTGCAAGTATTCCTGACCAAAGATTACCAAAATTTTCAACATCAGAAAATCTGTTGATCCTCAATTGAAGTTTTCATGGATTTCGACGTATCGCCGACTGATTCTCGATGGAAATTTCCATCCCTTTCCAATAAAAAAAAATTCATGGATTTTCAAAAGAAGTTTTCATCATTTCCCACGAATTTCTCCTCAGTATTACTATAGAAATTTATATACGTCAAATCAACTTACAATAATAACGTGACGAATCATATAAAATTAATTATAGTGAAAGGCGCGCGGAGCGCGCCTTCGAACTCGTCATAGAAAAAAAATGATGTGCAAAGTATCCGTTCGGAAGTATATTGCTAATTTATTAGAAAAAATATCTACGTTCTATGAAGATAAAAGCAATTTCCTGCAAGTATTCCTGACCAAAGTATAACCAAAAATTTTCAACATCAGAAAATTTTGCATTCAAATGTACACCTTGAAGGTACCAATCCCCAGCCCCACAGGCAATTTCGATTGAATCACCACCAGCAAGTAGCACCGCAACCTCCGGTACAAGCACGAACACTTGCAGCTCATTGTAGTTAACTGGAAAATAGCTGAGCACTTTAAATTGCCAGCTGAATCAATCGCAGCAGTGTGAATGCAATTGACAATTTAAAGACGCGTGTGTCTTTGAACTACTCCATTAAATCATCGTATTAGATAAAACCCCAGACGATGTCTCATTTCTTTGGCAGGAGTCACGAGGGAAAAATAGAGTGACGAATAACTCGGTTGAGGATCCGGTGGCGCGATCCAATTAAAAGCTGTAACGTCCTCAGACACCTGAGGATTGTTGATTCTCCCAATTAACCGGTGCACAAAGCTTCAGTTTTCATATTTTCATAAAAATAAAGGAACAACATTCAGGAGTTGTCACATACATAATTTTATTGTCAAATGTACATTTTTGTAAAAATATCGTGTCTGTCATTAATGAATTAGTAACAATGACGTGAGTTAATTGATTACCATCAATTATAATTGTCAATAATTGAAATTAAGTGAAAAGAAATTCTCGTTACTTTTGAAATAATTAATCATTAATGATTAAAAATTGACTTATCACATCCCACCTTTGCTTATTCCCCCAAAAAACAGTGATTCTTGAAGAAAAAAATCAGGAGACAATTTTTGTTACTGAGAAAATTCCCTGGAGGGAAATTTCTCCACATTTTCCCCTAAAATTCCTTGTTCTCAAGATAATTCAATAGTTTTTTCCCTCTGTCGCGATATATTTCATCGCTTTCTCACTAAACTCCTCCATTAATTCCCGGAGAAAGCAGTGGCACTGGCTGTAAATCTATTTGGACTGGCCCTAGTGATCAATGGCTCAAAAATAGCCCCAATGACAATGTAAAAAATCCAGGTACAACTCACAATAAATAATGAGGCTGGTACGCCATAACCGATGAGACGTAACAGAATAACACAGATTAAAATAGCTGTCATAAAGTTATAGCTAGCTAGCACTCGCAGAGACAGTCTCGGTGGAATTTTTTTTTCTGAACCAACTGTGAAGCCCCCATTCACGCGTTTAGGTAGTTGTCTCACTGATGTCGGGGGCTGAAGCACTTTTTTCGTCAGACGTCCCACGAAGTCTTCCCGATTGTAAAACATCTCTATCTGACGTTCGTACTGCAATTATGAGAATTCGTTACTAATTTAATTAAATTTAGTGAACAATTGCATAGTTTTTTATTTCAACGAGTGGAAGTTGTTTGAATCAACGAAATTCTGATTCAATTTCATTTGAAAAAGTAAAATTATGTGGCTCATGACGTTGAATTGAGGGTCAAAAGACCCTTAAAGATATTTTGAGTTGAAGAGCAAATGGTTTCGAGGGCGAAGGACACTTCGAGAAAGGGTGAAACACGCCTGTGATATAAGGGCTGAATGATTTTGAGGGTCAAACGGCCCTTGAAGATGTTCAAATGCAAGGCCAAACGGTCTTGAGGGTCAAACAACATATAAAAATGGTTTAAAGGGGCAAATCACCCTCAAGGACTCTTAAAGAAAGACCCAAACGATCCTCAAGAACCTGTGGAATGGGGATTCAATGACTTTAAAGGTCAAACGACCCTTGAGAACGTTTACACTGAGGGTCAACTCTTAAAGATGTTTGGAGTTGAAGATCAAATGGTTGCGAAGGTCGAATGATCCTCAAAGCTTTAGAATAGAGGTCAAACGAACCTTAAGAACCTTTAAAATGAGCTTTAAATAGTTTGGAGGGTCGAACGAACCTTGAGGACGTTTGGAGTCACTGGTCGAATAGTTCTGAGAGTCAAGCGGCCCTTAGGGACGTTTAAATTGAAGGTCAAATGGTCCTGAGGGTCGAACGACCCTTGATGACTATTGAGATGAGAATCAAACGACCTTCAATGACGTTTGAATTGAAGGGTAAAAAGTTTTGAGGGTCAAACGACCCTCAAGCACTTTGGGCGTTGCGGGCCGAGTACTTTCGAGGGTCAAACAACCCTCGAGAACGATTAAATTGAGGGTTAAATGGTCGTAAGGGTCAAATAATCCTCAAAGCCTTTGAAAGTAGAGATCGAACGAACTTTAAGAACTTTTAGAATGAGGTTTAAATAGCCTAGCGACCCTTGAGGATGTTCGAAATGAGGGCCAAATAATTTAAGGATCAAATGACCCTTAATAATCTTCGAAGGGAAACAACCCTCCTACCAACTCAACAACCCTTAATGACTATTGAATTGAGGGTTAAATAATCTTGAGGGTCAAACGACCTTTTAAGACTAATAATAATAATAATAATAATGATAATAATAATAAAATGTAATAATTATAAAACTGGAAAATCAATTATTTTAAATAATAATAATTCTTTTCAGTAAAATATAATGATAGTTTTTTTTTTAGATTAGATTTTATTAGATTTAGATTTCCCTGAACCCCCTCCTCTCCCTCAAAATTACCTTTGAATTAATCATCTCGCAGATTCTGTAGAGCCACCTGACGAGCACCCCACACTCATTGCTCCTCACGGGTTGCAGTTCAGGATCCCCCATGTACTCAATATACCTGCAATGTTGTCTCTCATCCTGAATAGGGACAAACACCCCGGGTCTGCTGTCGTCCACACAAGCCCCCTCACACTGAGACTGACAGAAAGAATCCGAAAGGATACTGTCATGGTACTCCTGATCAGCGACAATAGCCGCCTGTGGAATGTCCTCCACTTTAATCTGAAAGATCTCAATGATCTGTTGTTGCGCAATCGCCAGGAACCCGGGCACCCGCTTCCTCTCGGCAAGTCCAATGTCATCAGTGGAGTGTTCCTCTCCACTGAAGAATTCCCACAATGACCTCAGGAACTTCTTCTCGGTGTTCCTCTTCTCGAGAGCCTCGACGATGCTCGTAGCAGTGAGATGCGCCTGCTTGATGATGCTAAGGAACCAGATGATCTGGGAGACAGTGTTCTCCGAGAACATGGGGACGTACTGGTAGGAGGGCCCCTCGAGCTCGAGGATCTGCTGTCTGGCGACTGCACTCCACTGCTTCGTGGAGATCTTGTTTCGAGTGAGATTACAGTCGTCCATGTAGCATTCAGCCTCTGCCAGCATCTGGGGGAGGTACGGTTGGGAGAAGACTTTGGTGACCCTGAAGAGCATTAAAGCGTTCTTCGGGGCGACCAGATCAGTTCTCATGAACCTGGGGGGAACGTTGAGAGTTACAGCAGGGAAGATGACGGGTTAGGACAGTTCAGGGAGCAGTTACTATTTATGATGGTTGAGGGTCAAATGGTTTTGAGGGGCAAAAGACTTTTAAGGGCCGTTGGAGTTGAGAGTCAAGTGGTCTCAAGACCGTTGAACAACCTTTAAGAACGTTTGGAGTTGAGTGGTCAAACGACCCTTGAGAACGTTCAGAGGTGATAGTCAAATGGTCACAGGACCTTTGGAATTGAGGGTCAAACAACCCTCAAGAACGTTTGGATGTAAGGGTCTATCGACCCTTACAGAACATCGGAGTGAGGGTCAAATGGTCTTGAAAAGGTTTCAGGGTCAAAGGGGTTTTGATCAAGGTAATCAGACAGGCTCATTTAACCCTCATTTAACCCAATAAGAGGCTTATGAATGCCTATGAGGCATATGAAGGCATATAAAATGACCCTTAAGGACGTTTGAAGGTCACGGCCAAACGATCTTTAAGAACGTTTGGAGTTGAGTGTCAAACGACCCTTGAGAACGTTCAGAGGTGAGAATCAAATGACCACAGAACCTTTGGAATTGAGGGTCAAACAAACCTCAAGAACGTTTGGATGTAAGGGTCTATCGACCCTTAAAAAAATTCGGAGTGAGGGTCGAATGGTCTTGAAAATCAAACAACCCCCAAGAACGTTTAGTGTCAAGAAAGAAATGGTCTCAAGGGTCAAAGGGTTTTTAAGCAAGGTGATCAGACAGGCTCATTAACCCTTGACCCTTTCCGTCCTCAAGGGTTGTTTGACCCTCAAGACCATTTGACCCTCAACTAAAAACACAAAAAAAAGTTTCCTGAATTCTTGGAAAACATGACAAACTGGCGGAAGAAAAAATAAAAGAGGCATATGCCAAACTACTTGGTAATAACTAACCTGGGGAGGAGCTGTTGGAAGATACTCGTGTAGGCCAAGAGGTTATTCGCCACAAAGGACATCCAGCGCTCAGGATCGTGGATTTTCCCGCGGTCCTCCTCTGGCGGTTTCCCTTGCTGGCTGTAGGACAACTCCGGGACGTACCTCCAGGGCTGAATGAAGCTCAGCCAGGCCTCCAGGATCAGCCGGAAGGAGCTGTCCAGGGGCCAGTGGTGAATTGCCTTGCGAAGGAATGTGTAGATTTTTCCTTGAACCGAGGGCAGGATGATGCGCTTGAGCTCGTCCATTGCGGATCTGTCGCCACTCGCACTGTTCGCGAACTCGTGGAGGGTCTTGATAAAGGCCCGGACCAGGCGGATGTGCTCGCCGGAGTGGATCGAGTGGCGACGCGGGAGGGAGGAGGCCAGGGTGGAGTTCAGGGGCTGGGAGGGAATCTTCTCCTCCTCGGTGTATTCCAGCCAGAAGTCCAGGAATACTTGAACGACTGTCTCGCTACGCCACACCTGGTATAGAGGCATTTTGGGAGTTTTTTCTTTCAGTTTTCTATTTCATGATTTATTCCAGTGGTGAAGTGGTGAAACGATTCAAGTCGACTTATCTCTTAGTTGAGTTTTTGAAGAATATCTCCGAATCTAAAGGAGCTAACGAAATTTTCGTGATAACCTTTTTTCTAGAGAAAATTGAGTGCTACAAAAAAGGTCTTAACCGAAATTTAGCTATCTCCGTTAGATTCCAAGATATTCACTGAAAAATGGCCTATAGTCAAAATCGGCTTAAACCGTTTTGCCACTTCGCTAATGATTTATTAAGGCCCGAAGGCACCTTATGAACTGGTATATATGTTTTGATTGATTTAGATAGAAGGCATCGAAACGAATATTTTGAAGACAAGAAAATCAAATCGGTCCACTAGTTTTGAAGATATTTGCGGAAAACGATTTAAAAACGAATCGCTTTTTCTCCGAAACTATTAGATCGATGGGGCTGGGATTTTGCACAGAGTTAGTCCTCATTCGGACCTATAATCTGACAAAATTTCCGATTTTTTGGAATTGCTTTAGCCATTTAATTACTCAATTGTCTAAAAATTGACCACCGGGAGGTGGCGGAGGACGTTGTCACCTACAGACATGGTCGCCAAACTTCGTATTTTTATATTGCAGACCATTCTACATCATTTCCAATCAAAATTAGAGAATGTGAAAATCTAAAACTATTCTCTTGACACAAGTAAGACTTGTTTGAGAACTTTGTCGTTTTTCTCTCAATGTGCATTATCAATAAATCCCACCGAGTCGCCCCAAAAGTGTCTCCCCCTCACCTGAGGTAGGCACTGCTGATGAGGTCCGCCGCCCTGTCCCGGGCTCGTTGGAGCACTGGGGGACAGCACCATGGACCTGAGCAGCCTGGGTGTCTGGACCCTCTTGGCCTCCGGCAACTGGACAATCTTCCTCGACGGTATCTTCTTGACGTAAGCCCCGATGATGGGCAGGACCGGGGAGTTGTCCCTGGGCAGAAAATGGTACAGATAGGAGTGCGCAAGCTGCACGTAAACCGTCTCCCAGTTGATCCAGACGTTCTCCTGCTGCTGGAGCTGGAGCCACGGGTTCGTCAGGTGATAGGCGAAGTGGAAGATGTAGTACTCGAAGGGATTCATGGAGAGGGCTGAGGGCATTCTACTGCTGTGGTCATTCTTCAGCTTGTCCGAGTAGAAAGGGGGGATTATTCCCTCCTCCAGCATCACCTGGATCTTCGGTGGCAAATAAGACACTGGGAAATCGTATTTCAAGTAGCAGTCTGGGAGGAGTTTGTAGCAGAGGGAGAATATGGGGCCCTGGGGCCCCAGGAAATTACTCAGGATCTCGTACTCCTGGGGATGCCTTCGGAGGTTTATACTGTGCAGTCCCCAGCCCACGTTGTTAGTCACACCGAAGATCGAGTCGATGAGGAGTGGAAAGACATTTTGGAGTTCTGTTGTGCTGGACTCGTCGATCAGAACTGCCAGTTCTCGGCATCTCTCGGGGAGAGGCAGGTTCAGGTATGCGCGCATTCGGACCTGTTGGGGACAATGGGTTAGTTTTTTGGTGTTGTTGATGATGATGTTATGGAGGTTGAGTTTTTGGTACCGTGGCCACGTCCGTTGGTGCTGGCATTTTGCTGAGGGTTCTTATGCACTTGGGGATGATTTCTGATATTCACTTCTGCGGGGCTATGGGGGCGAACCGGTGTTACATTTTTACAATGCGAAAACGTTTTGATGGTGGACATAACCTAACGAGACCATGGGCAACTGGGCAACTGGGAATTGGGTGAGGGGTTTGGGGAATGCGCGGTCTAGGTACAGATTATGTGTCTGTGGGCAAGAAGTAGAGGTGGTCGATACCCCTCGATACATCGAAGTGTCCCATGTGGTATATTGATATACCGATATTTTTCTATCGATATTTTTAACGACTAATATATAGCTATTCGATATTTTTTCGTCACTAGCATTATAAGACCGAGAGCGAACGCGCGCTACAGCGCGCTGAAATTGTAACAATCATAATTGAAAATCTCAAAGTGAAATTAATCATGAATTAAATTTGCCGCCTCAGACGACTGGAACCAATGAAGAATAAGCGTGACAGGCTTGCGAGATATCGATAGTTATCGACTTTAAGTGTAAATTTTCTTTTTAGAATAGGAAATATCGAAGTCCAAATTTGTTTCGAATTTTTCTGTACTGCTTCTCACGATTTCTCGTCTGGGAATTGGTATTACGTACTTCCCAAACTCGAAAACTTGAAAATCACTACAGAAAAATATTGTTCCTGGGCTGTTCGATGGGGTTTTTTACTCGTGTGGTTGGCCAGTTCTTCACACGAGTAAAAAACCCCATCGCAACAGGCCGGAAATAGTATATTTCGTAACGAGTGCAAAAATGTGTTTTTTGGCGAGTGGGAGGTTTATATCACGAGCCGAAGGCGAGTGATATAATCCCACGAGCTAAAAAACATTTTTTCACGAGTTACAAACAATATTTTTCATCACAATCACGCGGAGCGTGCCGAAAAGTTCACTTTTCGTCACAGCGTGATGAAAAATACTATTTCAGAAATTCGGAAGAGAATAAATGAAATGTCACCACGAAAAAAGAGAAATATTGTTTTTAATACCGCATGATTTTAGTTATTTCAGATTTCATCGGAACTCCTCCCCCTCTCTCATTCAACCCATCGACTCCCTCACTCCCCCCATGGGCTCATGATCATCATTAGAGATGCAAATGCGTTACATGACCCGTCATATGACGGTCATGTGACCGTCATTGACGGTCACATGACGAGGCGTTAATGACGGCTGTCACATTCCCCCTCACCCTTCTGTGACCGACGCAACTTGTCAAGAAAAAATGACAGTCATTTTTCATCTATATAGATGAAACTTTATTTTTTTCTCGGTCAATTTTCCGTTGAATTTCTTTTGTATTGGCCTAATCCGCATTTTGAAATGGAAATCACAATTTTTTTCCATCCATATAGATGAAACTATTTTGTTTTATTCATGACCGTCACAAATTGGAAATTAGTTATGACCGTCATTATGCAACTATATAGATGGTTTGACAACAATTTGGTTACAAATGATTTGTGACAATCATTTGTAGTTGGAAAATTTGTGCGTCACATGACCGTCACAAGACCGTCATTTTTCGGTCATATGACGCGATCTAAAAAATGACGGTCATTTGGTCATCTCTAATCATCATGATCATTCTAGTTGATTTTGCCGTCTTGTCATTAGTGAATATTTCAGATGAAAAATATATTGTTATATCGGTTCAACGATATTTTTTTCAGAATATCGATATCTTCGACCCGATATTTTCAAATTATATCGATAGGTGCGATTTCGATAGTTCCTTCAATATCGGCCCATCCCTAGCAAGAAGCACTCTAGTTACGCGACCCGACACTTCCGTAAGAACTTCACAGATGCCATCTGCACTCACAGCCCACAACCACCCCAGCACAATAACCAACAAGAACAAAAAAGGGTGGTGGCATCGACATCCTAAAATGACATTTTTCTGCAGTCTGTCTGAGTTATCGTCAACACTCCACTGAAATTATTTCTCCAAGGCCTTGTGCACATTCTCCTGAAACCTAAATTTTTTTAAAATAGACTAGAATTTTCTATCTGCATCGCTTACAATGGTGAGTCCCAACGGATCATAACGAGTCTGTGAAAGCAATTGTGACCTCGAAGAAAATTTTTAGGTTATATATTTTGTTTGGCGAGTGCCTCCTCATTTTTTTCTTGACAGAATAAATTTGACACTGTTTTTCCTTGAAATTTCATCGATATGGTGATTATTTCAGTCGGTCGCTGAGTTTTTGAAGGGCCTGCCCTCCCACAATGAAAATAATTTCGCTAATTTTCATACGGACAATGGAAATCGTACCTGCGTCAAGAGGCCCTCGGTGTATTTACCTACGAAAGACTATCCTTCGGAACAAAGTAAGTGTTTCCATTTAATATTTTTTCTCATTCAAGCTTTAATCTTCAAAGAATTGTTTCAATAATTTTTTTTATCTACTTTTTTTTCATTTGGAACCAATTGAACTATTTAATAATACAGATGCGTTCATCATTCACAAACGTTTCATGAGCAATTTTCTATAATTAATAGGGGAGGGTGAGGTAAAATGGAGAGTTTAGACCTTTTTTTAATTCTTTATAACTCAGAAACAAATTTATCAATTGAGCTCAGTTTAGGCTCGTCACAAAGGGAAAGAGTTGTTCCTTATATTGAAAAAAAAATTATTAAATTTTATCAACATTTCAACCCCTCATTAACATTTAAAAAAAAGTCGAAAATGTCCGCTTTACCCCAGCCTCCCCTAATTAATAATGATAATATAATAATATATTCATAATTTTATTGTTTTTATCATCACTTATTACTCATTATTGGACATTTTTTTCAACATAATAAGCGATTTGAAGGGGTTCAAAGGTCTCTTGACCACAGGGATGGAACCCTGAGAGATTCAGGGTTTGAGAAAATGTCAGAGAACAATTTTTGATGAGAATTTCATGGCTAAAAAGATATTCTCGACATTTCTGGGTAAATGCAGTAGTTTCAGACATATTTACAATTTTCCCTGTTCATGACTTCTCAACTCACTTTTTCGCCTTCGACAATGGTGCAATAATCTAAACAAAAATATTCTTCCAGTAATTGTCACTGAGAAGACAACAATATTGCTGAGGTACCTCCACCAGCAGTGGGACAAAAAGGTAAAATTTGTAACGATTGGATACTCTCCTGAGGCCTCTTGAGAGTATCCAAGTACCTTTTCAGTTTGGTACAGACCAAACTATAGATTCAACCATTTGTAACCATTAAATTTGGCAATTAAATTGCGTGAGAAAAATGGGGAAAACATAATGAATATTCAGCATCATTCAAATTACTTTTTGCATAAAATTATGATTTTTTCAGACATGCGTTGTCCATACATAAATAATTGAATTTGTTTAAACTTTTGGAAACCCAATTTTTTTAGGCATAAGATAGATTTTTGGTAAAATTCTGAATATGAATAAATTTGTTACGATTCCGAATGATTGTTGCGGTGGAAAATGGACTGTTTATAAATGATTTATAGAAAATGCTCGTAATTTTCAAAAATTGAATTTTTTAAATTATTTCATGAATTTTCCTCCAAAAGTAAACTTTCTAATTTTTTTCAGATTTTTGAAATGTTTTCTAACAATTTAAAATCATTGTAAAATGTCCGAAAACTTGGGGTCAAATTGGGCTCAAATGAAAGCGCTTATGTTCAACTACAAAAGTAGGAAAGCATTTCACTAAAGAAAAAATAACCAAAATACTCGGATATCCTCAATTATTTCAGGTCCATCAAATCAAAATGAAATTTTACAGTTGACATTAAAGCATTTTTGTTGTTCCACAGAATTCCGAAAGAAAACGAGACTTGTTATCAGTAAATGGCGACTCCCCAGACGACGTAGCGGTGAGACGCTGCAAGAGGCCACGTCTCGATCTCAACAATACCATCTAAACCAAATGAATGAAAGAAAAGGACCGACACATAACGAAAGAATCACAATTACCTCATCGTAATTATTTGTCCATCGTTCGAGTTCGAATACATCTGACCTGTAATTTCACGTATTTCTCCTCAATTTTCATAAACGTGTAAATATTTCGTTTCAGGAAGCTACTTGCAATTTCATGTCATTTTTTTCGATTGAAAATTGTCTTTCACGAGAATGAGACTTTATCAATGAAATTGAAGCCATTGTTAGTTAAGATTTTTGTCAAGCATCAAGTGTGGAGCATTTAATTGGCTTGAAATTTTTTTTTTCGATTTAAGGCTCAGGTGAATCATCTTTCGAGCGTGATCTTGGTTGTTTTTTTTATTTTGATAATCTGAAATGATCGCCAATAGCTATTCGGTTTTACATAGCCCTGGAGTCTTCAAAAATTATGATTGCACAATAAAAAAAACGGTGAAAAAAAGCTGAACATTTTCAAAGAGCGTTTTTGAATAATATTGGGAAATAAACCCAATAGGGAGGAAATTGCAAATTAATAATTTGATGTATCTAATGGCCGTTAGGTCGTCATTTATCGCAGTAGTCAATGGCCATGATAAATTATCCATTCACTATTTCCTCTCTATCGGACTTATTTCTCAATCTTTATTAAAAACGCTCTTTGAAAATGTCCAGTTTGACTCCTGCGTGATGTAAAATCCAATGGAAATTGTGATATATTTTACATTATGAAAATGAAAAAACAATCGCGATAACGTTCGAAAGATAATCCAACCGGGCCTTAATTAGACTTTTTTTCATGAATTGATATCTTTTAGGGCTCTGCATTTGTCTTTAATGATTCTGGAATTTATTTTCTGGATTTGTCGAGATACATTCCATGCGAATCCTTAAAGACCTCTGGGGATATCTCGTTTGATTTTTCTTTCGAATTATTGATTAATAAAATTGTGTAATGAAATAAAAAACTGTGTTGATTTCATTTAAACTCGATAAAATTGAAAAGTAATTGATAAAAATCAATTTTATCATGAATTTTCCCTTCAAATCTGAATGTTTCTCCAAAGAAAAATAAGTTTCAAGGTGAAAAATTACAAATACATTTCGTTACTTCTCAAAAAATTCAATCTTATTACATCCTCGTGAAAAAGTAAATCATTACTTTTTTTTTCTATGAATACAAATTAAAAATACATTACAACTTAATCTAAGATACTTAATTGATAGCATCTGCCTTTTACCTTTCGCATGTGGTTTTCGTGTGAAATGAAGATTAATTGAAATAAAAGGCTACAAATAATCGGATACCGATTGATTTTTCATTTCAGTGGTTATGGAATTTATTGAACTTTGGCTTTTTCATCCTGGAAGTCTCGCGAAAGACGTGGGTTATTAATTATTAGAGAGTTTTTGGGAGACATCAGGGTTCGAGTGACAAAATGTTATCAAGTATTTTGTGTAATTATTCATTATCCCAGAAAAATTTCTTTGCGATCGATTTTTTCAGTCTCTAATGCCACTTTATAATTATTAATCACAATTATCTCAACGATTATTGATTTCAGGAGAAAATGTGAATAGAAATTTTGTTGCATAGAAAAAATTTCTGAATACATTTCAGTAGCGAAGTGGTAAAACGGTTTAAATCGACTCATCTCGCAGTTGAGTTTTTGATGAATATTTCTGAATCTGAGAGAGATAGCGAAATTTTCGTAATTACATTTCTTGTAGCACTCAATCGGCTCTACAAGAAAGGTTATAACAAAAATTTTGCTATATTCCTCAGATTCCGAGATATTTATTGAAAACTGGCTAATAGTCAAAATTGACTTGTACCGTTTCACCATTTCGCTCCTGTTTTTCTCCTAAAACCACTCGTTCTCGAGATAATAGCAAAATAATGAATGCAAAAAATTGACACTTGTCTTGTCACTCCCCTCCTGACATCATTAAGTAGCACTGACAAATTAAACGAACACTAGTGTTAAAATTCCCATCGGAGAAATGAGATTCTCCCAGTTTCACTCAATCATCGAATCAAATATCATTGAAAAATAATCACAACACTTTTACAATGTTTCTAGGCATTACAGTAATACGTCTAAGCACCTTATTTCTGCACCAAAAATATCGATGAAGCGAGAGACGAATTCCTTCAATTCAGTATGAAAAATTGTTCGAAATGAACATTCGTAAATTGGAATGCAATAAACAATATGAGAATTNCAATCGCGATAACGTTCGAAAGATAATCCAACCGGGCCTTAATTAGACTTTTTTTCATGAATTGATATCTTTTAGGGCTCTGCATTTGTCTTTAATGATTCTGGAATTTATTTTCTGGATTTGTCGAGATACATTCCATGCGAATCCTTAAAGACCTCTGGGGATATCTCGTTTGATTTTTCTTTCGAATTATTGATTAATAAAATTGTGTAATGAAATAAAAAACTGTGTTGATTTCATTTAAACTCGATAAAATTGAAAAGTAATTGATAAAAATCAATTTTATCATGAATTTTCCCTTCAAATCTGAATGTTTCTCCAAAGAAAAATAAGTTTCAAGGTGAAAAATTACAAATACATTTCGTTACTTCTCAAAAAATTCAATCTTATTACATCCTCGTGAAAAAGTAAATCATTACTTTTTTTTTCTATGAATACAAATTAAAAATACATTACAACTTAATCTAAGATACTTAATTGATAGCATCTGCCTTTTACCTTTCGCATGTGGTTTTCGTGTGAAATGAAGATTAATTGAAATAAAAGGCTACAAATAATCGGATACCGATTGATTTTTCATTTCAGTGGTTATGGAATTTATTGAACTTTGGCTTTTTCATCCTGGAAGTCTCGCGAAAGACGTGGGTTATTAATTATTAGAGAGTTTTTGGGAGACATCAGGGTTCGAGTGACAAAATGTTATCAAGTATTTTGTGTAATTATTCATTATCCCAGAAAAATTTCTTTGCGATCGATTTTTTCAGTCTCTAATGCCACTTTATAATTATTAATCACAATTATCTCAACGATTATTGATTTCAGGAGAAAATGTGAATAGAAATTTTGTTGCATAGAAAAAATTTCTGAATACATTTCAGTAGCGAAGTGGTAAAACGGTTTAAATCGACTCATCTCGCAGTTGAGTTTTTGATGAATATTTCTGAATCTGAGAGAGATAGCGAAATTTTCGTAATTACATTTCTTGTAGCACTCAATCGGCTCTACAAGAAAGGTTATAACAAAAATTTTGCTATATTCCTCAGATTCCGAGATATTTATTGAAAACTGGCTAATAGTCAAAATTGACTTGTACCGTTTCACCATTTCGCTCCTGTTTTTCTCCTAAAACCACTCGTTCTCGAGATAATAGCAAAATAATGAATGCAAAAAATTGACACTTGTCTTGTCACTCCCCTCCTGACATCATTAAGTAGCACTGACAAATTAAACGAACACTAGTGTTAAAATTCCCATCGGAGAAATGAGATTCTCCCAGTTTCACTCAATCATCGAATCAAATATCATTGAAAAATAATCACAACACTTTTACAATGTTTCTAGGCATTACAGTAATACGTCTAAGCACCTTATTTCTGCACCAAAAATATCGATGAAGCGAGAGACGAATTCCTTCAATTCAGTATGAAAAATTGTTCGAAATGAACATTCGTAAATTGGAATGCAATAAACAATATGAGAATTTCCATTCATGACTGACATAAGCAAAACATTTTCAATGAATTGACCTTCCCTCATTTTTCACAACTGTGAAAACCTCTGCACAGAGAGAGAAATAAAAAAGTGATTTGTAAAATTGTTCAGTTTTGTTCAAAATCGCATAATTGAACTTGAAAAACCTCAAAAAGTCTTGATCTGAACTTTCATCAGGCAAAAATCCTGAACCACCTGTTCTTTCGTTGGAATCTCAGAGTAACTACAATTCCTACTTAATATTCGAGGGTTTTTTTACACCTCCCACGATAAAAAAAAATTCCTCGATGAATTGACGAAGAGAAAAAGTCCTCTCCGATTGTGAACTTAATCACTAAATATGTGTTGGAGGTCGTGCTCGTACAGAGCTATTACTAGCATTATTCCCAAGCCTGTCAGAAGCCCTAGGCCTTGGAGGATACATTGCCAGTTTGATCCACCCTCTGCTGTGTGTCCAGAGGACAATTCTGGGATCTGACGATGAGAACATTGAGTTATTCATTTGATTAGGAAATTAATTCTGTTAATAATTAATGACATTTAGTGAGTGTTGAGACAAATTTTGTCTCTTGACGTTTTTTTTTCCAAAAACATTAAAAATTCAATTCGACAATTGATAAGGGAAATGCCTCAAATTGAATACAATATCTTTGATGAATTATTAATTAAGGAATCATCTAGGCGATTAAAAAAATGTCAAAGAGTTGATTTTTTTTACATGAAATTTAAAAGAAAAAAACGGAAAATACCAGATTCTCGAGATAAATCAATAATTCCCAAAGATATGAAGTTTCAGGCCCGTTTGGATTATCTTTCGAGTGTTATCTCGATTGTTTTTTCATTTTCATAATGTAAAATATATCACAATTTCCACTGACTTTTACATCACGCAGGAGTCCTTAAAAATTATGATTGTACAAAAAAAGTAAAAAAAAATGAACATTTTCAAAGAGCGGTTTCCATAAAAAATTAGGAAATAAGTCCAATAGAGAGGAAATAGTGAATAGATAATTTATCATGTTAACTAACGATCTAACAGCCATTAGATACATCAAATTATTAATTTGCAATTTCCTCCCTATTGGGTTTATTTCCCAATATTATTAAAAACCGGTCTTTGGAAATCTTCAGCTTTTTTTCAACTTTTTTTTCATTGTACAATTATAATTATTGGATACTCCAGGGCTATGTAAAACTGAATAACAATTAGAGATCATTTCAGATTATCAAAATAAAAAAAATAAAAACAAGCAAGATCACGTTCAAAAGATAATCCACCCAGACCTTAATTTATAATTCAATGAATTATTTTATAAACCCACCATATCCACAAGTGCAATGTAAATAAACATTCCAGCAGCAGCTGCAAAGACCCAGCTAGTGGTGGCTGGTTGAGCCCCAAGAAGGACCCCAAATATCATTCCAAACAAACAAAGTACCGATGATAGTAAGTTATAAAAAACCGCCTGTTTCGCGGACATTCCAGCCTTAAGTAGGACAGCAAAATCACCGAGTTCGTGTGGTAATTCGTGACAGAATACTGCTATTGCTGTTGAAAAACCACCAGCTATATTAGCAGCAAATGCTGCACCAATGGCCATGCCATCTGTGAAGTTGTGAAGGCCATCACCCATTATTACCATCCAGGCTACACTGGACATGGATTCGGGTGCTGCATGGACATGTCCTGAAAATATGTACATTTAAATTTTAAATGATTTGTTCAAGTTTTTATTCAATTCAAATGACCCCTTTAATAATAACTATTTAAATTGTCTTTACAGCTGAGGTCCAATAACCCCTCCTTTTTTTCCCCTGATAATTTCCACTGAATTTTGTTTTTCTGGACATGAAAAATGAATGAATGAATTTATTTCATCGTGGGAAATTAATGGAATACTAGATGTAGAAGAAATTGTCATTTTGGAGCAATTCGGTTGTTGTCTTCTTGAATATACGAACACACATAACCACTCCGTTCATTTTAAAATAAGTGATGGCAACAAGTGAGTTAATTGATTGTTTATTGGGACAAGAGATTGATTCGAATCTTTTTGGGGATTTATTTTCATAATGTTGATTGATAAATGATAGTAATTAAGTGATTTATGATGGATTGTGAATGTTTATCGTATTGTACTGATTATGTAGGCATGAGAGTTTGTTTTGAAATTTGAAAAAAAATCGTTTTGAAAATGTTGAATTCTGATTTGGATTCGAAAGATTGAGAGACGTAATAAATTGAATTGATATTGGTAATACGTGTATGTGTGACCTTCATGTTCAGTGGTAAGGAGAAATCATTCCGGGAGAAATGATTCCGGGGAAATTTTTTCCGGGGGAAAACAATCCGGGAACCATAATAAAATACCAAAAAACTCACCATGTGAATGTGTATGGCCATGATGCTTGTTCTCATGCTCCCGAATAATAACCGTGTACCCATCCCCCTCAGCCCCCTCCTCCTCGCCCTTCCTCCCAGCCTCCTCGACCTTCCACTCCTCCTTCTTCCCCGCCTCGTCCTTTCCCACCGAGTTCGACGATACCTCATTCAGCGGCTTGACCTCCTCCCCTCCACTTCTCTCCTTATCGTTGTGCTCGTGCTCATGATGATTGTCCTTAGTCGTGATCTCTCCATAGCAGTACGGATAAGAGGAGTATTTGTGCTTGCACAATTTCTCACCAACAGTGCTGGGCCCCTCGCTCTCCCTCATCACTCTGACCCTCGAGGGCGGTTTGTTCCTTCTCTGCCTGTACTTTCGCCATTCCGCCACTATCGACAGGGCCTTCTCCGTGAAGAAGAAGAGTATCAGGCCCATCATAGCAGTCAGGCCCTTCCACATATTCGAGTTGTGGAGGGTCTCGTGGTCAATCTCCTGGGGAATGGCTCCAAGCTCGTGAGAGTGCGAGGACATCATGGCGTGGGGCAACAAGTGGATCAGAGCGTCTCCACAGAGTGTTCCTATTGCCAGGGCCACCAGGAACTGGAGCAATTGGTTGTAGTAGGACTTTCCCATTACTGGGATCACTGCCACCCCCAGGAGGCCACACAGACTTATGATTATTATGGAGATTGTTGAATACACCCAGACCTGGACGATGTTGCGTGCTGGCTCGTCGTCGAATTCCTCGGGGTAGGGATTCAGGGGGATTTGGGTCATGGTGGGGATGCTTATGCAGCCAGAGTTCTCCAGGGGGGAGGAACTCGTCAGGTGGTACAGGAGAATGGGACAGGCTCGGGAGAAGAGGTCCTGGGTCAGGTTGCTGACGTTTGGGGGGTGAGGGGGTGGCGAGAGGTGGGTGAGGAAGTCGCGAGTACTGAGGCACTGCCAGGGAAATGATTTTTTTAAGAAATATTTCGGGTTATTTGGTTTTTTGAGAACAGTTCAGCAGCGAAGTGGTAAAACGGCTTAAGGATGTTCGGCACCCTTTTAGCCAAAATTGACGTTGCTTTCATTTTTCTGGCAAATTATCGATGGGAGTGACGTGAAAAAATATAACGATTTTGTGGTTTGTCATTCTTTAATGGCTCACGAAGTTGCGTAGTGGTGCGATAATTTTCATGCGTTTTTTCTACAGTTTTGTGATTCTTTTTAAAAGTTTAGAGAAAACGCAGGAAAATGTTCGCACCACCTTAAAATTTCGTCAGTCATTAAATAATGACAAAACGCAAAAACGTTATATTTTTTCACGTCAATTCCATCATAAGTTTGCCAGAAAAATTAAAAAAACGTGAATTTTGGCAGAAAGGGTGTAGTACATCCTGAAGGATGTTCTACACCCTTTCTGCCAACGTTCACGTTTTTTTCATTTTTCTGGCAAATTATTGATCGAATTGGTGCGAAATAATATACCGTCTTTGCGTCTTATCATTATTGACTGACTCACGAAGTTTCATGGTGTTGCAATAATTTTCCTGCATTTTTACTAAAGTTTTGTGAATTTCTGAAGTTTTAGAAAAAACGAAGGAAAATTATTGCACGATCATGAAATTTTGTGAGCCACTAAGTAATGATAAAACGCAAAAACAGTAGATTTTTTCACGTTAATCTGATCAACAATTTACCAGAAAAATTGAAAAAATGTGAATTTTGGCGAAAAGGTTGAGTTGAGTTGAGTTTTTGAGGAATATTTCCGAATCTAAAGGAGATAGTGAAATTTTCGTGATTACATTTGTTGTAGCTCTTCATTGGCTCTACAAAAAAGGTTATAACAACAATTTTGCTATCTCCCTTAGATTCCGAGATATTCATTGAAAACTGGCCAATAGTCGAAATTGACTTGAACCGTTTTACCACTTCGCTACTGAGTTGTAAAGGGGTGCGGGAACGAATTGTCTTCAGTCGTCAATACCTCCGGAATGAATGATGTGATTTTGATTAGTCGGGAGTCGTTTTCAAGGAGGAAAGAATATATTGAGAATGAAAAAAATGGGAATTTTTACTCTGCCGTTTTGTCGAGTTATTGATGACTGAAAAAGGCGCATTTAGCCACCTCTCCAATTTATGAAATTCTTATTCATTTTTGAGAATATCCAAGTATCTTTTACAGTTTGGGATAGACCAGAGTATCGATTCAATCATTTTTAATGATCAAATTTGTCGATTAAATTGGGTGAGAAAAATTTGAAAAAAAGTCATGAATATTCAGTGGCATTAATTTTATTAGGCCTGAAATCGATTTCAAGTAAAATTCTGAATATGAATAAATTCGTTACGATTCCGAACAAATGATTTTTATGGTGGAAAATTGATTGGTTGCGAATTGTTTATAGAAAATTCTCGTAATTATCGAAAATTGTCATTTTTTATTATTTCATCAATCTTCCTCGAAAATTAAACTTTATAATTTTTTTTTCAGATTTTCAAAATGTTTCCCAAAGGTTTGCGAGTACTGAGGCACTGCCAGGGAAATGATTTTTATTATTAATTAATATCGAGATTCAATTCAGACCAGCAAAGTTCAAATAATGAAATCGTTGTAAAATGTCTGGAAATTTAGTGAAAGCTCTGCAATTCACTGCACTGAGAGAAAAACGACAAAGTTCTCAAACAAGTCTTACTTGTGCCAAGAAAATATTTTTTTGAAAATGATCAAAAAAGGTTTTTTTTTGTGTCAAACATGCAGAGAATGCGCTAGACTGAAAATTTTTTGTCTCAAAAATAGATTTAGTAGTTAAAAAAAAATTGCATTCTCTGTACACGCAAGAAATGTCATCTCTAGCACTACTCCTTCGTTATTCGATACTCCCATATGTATTTTGCTCCCGAAAAATCGTTGTTTTATGCGAAACAAGGGATAGTAGTTTTTCGTTTCGGCTGTCTAATAATCACAGACAATAAATGAACCTTTAACTGAAACAATAATAATGATATGATAGCAATCTTGTAACCTAGGAATAAAATATTTGATAAATTTTCCTCTATATGAGATATTTTCATCCTGCAAAGGCACCGTCTGGTGTGAATTATCCGCCTCTTGAGCCAAATATATCTTTGCTGTCGAAAGCAGAACAATTATTCATGTCTGAGACTTTCAAATTCGAACCAAACAAATTCTTTTTTGGCAATTTTCGACTAGCAATTATGTTGGCCCAAACAAGACTTGTTAGACAACGTGTTTGTTTTTCTCTCAGTGTGAAGAAAAAATAGCCAAAGTACTTGGATATCCTTAATGAGTTAAAATCCTGTTTCCATTTGTTTATTCATAAAAACAGTGCATATTCACCTGTTCTTTCGCGTTTATACTGTTGGGATCCCCTGATTTTTTACTGCTATTTTCATCTGATCGTGATGTACCTGCACGTGAAATCATCCAATTGTTCATGTGACGCATCACAATTAATTGTCTCGAATAATGGAAATGGGAAAGGCAATCAGGGAGGAGCGATAATTGCACAAATGCTCCCAAGGTTTTCCAGATAATGGAAGCAAATATTTCCTTGACCAACTGACCGTTGCAATTCGCGAATGTAAAAGGGAATTCAAGTTAAACACTGGAGATTAGATTTTTAGACTGTAATCCGTGTAATCAGAGTTCTAAATCTTTCTCGCTGAGACGTGAAAATTGATAAGGAAATGGATTCAATTTCTGTTGAATCAAACAACCGAGGCCTTCTCGGTTACGGTTAATCTTGAGTCGGCTGTTTGAATTCTGCGGTAGATACGAAATTGTGATGATTGACAACTTTTGAGTGTTGATATACTTTTTGTTTTTGTTTCTTTATCGCAAGAATTTAAAAACCTCACGTAATTGTTGCGCTGTTGTTTAATATGGTGAAAATCGAAAACGTGAGAAGATGAATAAATGAGAAATTCATTAATGAGATAAATTAACAATGAAGTAAAGAAAAAAATTCATTCTTCGTATTTTTCGATTTTAGTACTAAACTTGTCTTGTTAATTCACATTTATCTCGAGAAGGAGTTGTTTTACGAGACAATGTATTTGAACCTTTTTTTTGGCTAAGAAATTTTCCTACAAAAAATGATTCATGACTTCTCTCCCTAAAACCACCCCTTAATGAGATAAATGGACAATTGAAAAGAAATTCAAAATCAACACGAAGAAAAATGGAACACAATAAACCTTGCTAAATCTTCAAAATCTCAGAGACAAACGATTTGAACGAATCAGCTGTGGCTACCTCAAGAAATGACTTTCGAAACGTCACCTCATTCTGAAAAATCAACTCTGCGAATGACCTCTGCCCGAATGATGCCCCATCAAATCTGTTCCCGTCCTCCCAATGAAATTCCCCAACTTCTCTCGAGAAGAAATCCCCTGAATTCAAATAATTATCCTGAGAACATCTCCACCGTCTTCCCCCAGTGATCAATTAACGACAATTTGGTGGGTCAATTGCGGCCACACGTGACAGATATACCCAACGAGGCGTAATGAATCCATCAATTCGTCAATTCCGCTAATAAAAAATCACAACAGTGTAAATCGTCTGTGGTAGATTTGAAATTGATAATTCTATCGATCACCTGTCGCCACTGTCTCCATTTTCAGCATCAAGTCAGTTGTTGAAAGAAAATATAAATAGAAGATGAATAAATGAATGTATAAAAAAAATTAATTCTGATTGCTAATTAATACGATAAATAACAGAGTGGAATCTATTTTTAATTACCCCATTAATCAGAATTGACTTCTTTCAATGGAAAAAAAATCATTTTTATCAATTGGCTATTCATTAATGATGATACCATTGATTTTAATCATTCATTCAATTCCTAATCGTCAAAAAATGATTTGATATTGCATTAATGAGTAATGAAGACATTTTCATTGCAATAAATTCATCAATTCATGTAAATGGTCGGTGGTAGATTTCAAATCAATAATTCTATCGATCACCTGTCACCATTGTCTCCATTTTCAGCATCAATTCAAGTGAGTAGTTGAAAGAAAATATAAATAGAAGATGAATAAATGAATGTATAAAAAAAATTAATTCTGATTGCTAATTAATACGATAAATAACCGAGTGGAATCTATTTTTAATTACCCCATTAATCAGAATTGACTTCTTTTAATGGAAAAAAAATCATTTTTATCAAGTGGCTATTCATTAATGATGATACCATTGATTTCAATCATTCATGCAATTCCTAATCGTCAAAAAATCGTCCGATATTAGATTAATGAGTAATGAAGACATTTTCATGATTCCAAACGACACGTCTTCGATCATCGATATCTCCCGATCAAACGATGCGATTTGGCTGAGTCAGGTCTCATTTCGAAGATGAAAAAAAATCCTCAAAATGAAAGAAACAATTTAAAAAGTTCTCTCTGCCGTTCTCGAGTTATTACCGATTCAAGAATTGGTCTATTCGAATGACTTACCATTGATTCCAACTCGACTCTCGTCCCTCTCGACGCTCCTGATGAGTTCAGTGAGGCCTAGCTTCCTCAGCATGTTCTCGAAGCCCTCCATGGAGAGGCTCTCCCCATCCCCAAAGGTGTCAAAGATCTTCTTGAGATAATAATTGTCTTGAATCTCCACGTGTCGCTCCTGCCTGATCTTGCTCCCCTTCTCCTGATTCATGGAGTGTTTTTCCCTCTTGAAGGGAATCTCCTCTGGGATGTGTCCCAGCCTCTGGAGGACCTCTCGACTCTCCAGCTGATCGATCTCCCTGGGAACAGGCACCTCCTGCTTCTCAAATCGCAGTTTCATCTTCTCCGAGTGGAGGAGCTTCTTGGAACGATGTGGTGAGAGCACATGGGAGCCACCTCGATCCTCCACTGGTGGTGTCATCATCTCGTGATGATTTCGAGGATCATTGTTGGAATTTATTCGCAGGTACTTGGGACTTGGGGTTAACACTGGGTCTTGGTAGCTCTGGGGATTGGGGGACATGGTTGTGTGGGCGGAGCAGGGATTGTGGGATGCACATAGCACGCAGACAACGCAGACTGTCATGAAGTGTTGAGACATTTTTCACGGAATTATCTGGAAGATAATTTACTAATTTTTGGTGGTGACGGAATAAGCACATTCACTCAATTTTTGTATTAAACTTGGGGCAGATTGCGATCTCTTTGGCGCCGCTATTTGACATATATTTTCCGTACCATTTTCCCCAGGGATACGGGAAAAATACAGAAAAATTCCCTCTCAATTCGTTTTTGGGATATGACCAATGCTTATTTTTCAAGATGCGAACATTTCCATCAAACTTCGTATGGGTACTTGACATTCCAATTCATGCACTCACATTCCCACATTTGAATTCAATGATTACATTTCAGTAGTGAAGCGGTAAACCGAGTCAAGTCGATTTTGACTTTTGATCAGTTTTTGATGAATGTCTCAGAACCTAAGAGAGATAGCAAAATTTTTCTCATGACCTTTTTTGTAGAACCAATTCAGAGCTATAAAACGGTCATGACAAAAATTTTCTATCTCTTTTAGATTCCGAGATATTCGTCAGAAACTGGCCAAGAGTCGAAATCGACTTAACCCGGTTTACCGCTTCGCTACTGATTTACATCGAAAAAAAAACAAAACTCAATTTTAATGGAAATTTTTTTGTTGGAGATCTTTTTGGTTGAATTTTTTTTCTGAAAAAATTGCAACAACAATCGCAAAAATTCAGTCAACAAAATCTGCAGCAAAAGAATTTTCCCCTGAATCCACTCCTTCCAAAGATATCCCACCTTTAAAGCTCAATTCAAAATAGCAATCAATCATCTAACTATCTCCCTAATCACAAGACATTTTCAGCATAAAATTTTCCTTCAGCAAGAAAACGAGACTGTCCTCAAGACAAATTCACACTCCCAAAACCCTGATACCCACCTCATCACTCCTCAATCCGATCTTCAATTTCCACAATCCAATCAGAATTCGCAATAACTAAACTCAAGTGCATAAAGACCACTCGTAGGCGATTCCCATACAAGTCCCCCACCAAAATAAAATTCAAATGCTTGAGGAATGCAAAGTATCCGAGCCACTGATACCACTGGATTTGTCTCCAAGAAATAATGACAACTCCAAAATAGAATTCCTCTCGTCCACTTCCATCAATGGATGATGATTATTTTTAGCTGTCAAAAGGGTACCCCCACGCACCAAAAACCCGGAGAAATGAGGTTAGAGGACTCAGGTATCCCCAATATTATGAATTGAACACCCATTGTCAGGGTTATTTTTACCTGAATATCGACGATTGAGTGTCAACAATAGTCTCCAGAGTGCTGTGGCCAACAGTTGTCCCTCGGCTTTTGTAGATAAATTGTTGAAAAATTTGTTGTGAAAAAAAATTCAATTCAATCAAGGCGATGGGTTTTTAGCGGTTCGGGAGGGCACAGAGGCTCTCGTGTTCAGTCAAGGTCCACTATTGTCGATCATTCAGGGGTTTTTACTGTTGTTCCATTTATTTTTTCGGGGGAAATAATTATGCCGAGGATATTTAGATACACTAACACAACACGGAGCAACAAGTACAGGGTGAACTTGGTCGTATGCCGGGCTCTAGTGCTCTGCGGGATCTTCAGACGCCAATCATCCAACATGGCTGGACGGGGGGATTGACGGAGCATCCAGGGGGGCCGGGGGGTGAGGTTTGTCGCGAAATTCGGGTGGTAAAGCAGATTTCAGGGAAATAGAAGAGGTTTTTATTGTTGAATGCTAATTTTTTTCGCAGTGAAGGGTTCTAGAAAAAAATGTTAAAACGTTAAAATGTGAAAAGTGTCACATTTCCTTGACTACAAAAAAGATTTTTTGATGTTTTTCGTTAAATTTAATAGTTTTCGAGATTTTTTCAGTGATGAAAAACTCGATTTTTTAGAGGAAATGTTTTTTAAGTGGAAATGAAATGAAGGGGAATGAATATGTCTGATTATTTTCGGAGCGGTAGATTTTAGAAGAAAATGGAAGAAGGACTTTTTGTAGAAAATTTTGTCAGCTGCAAAAAAGATTTTTTGATGGTTTTTTCTAAATGCAGTCGTTCTCGAGATATTTGAAGTGAACGATTGGGGTTTGAATTTGGAGGGTAAAGCAGATTTGAGGGAAATGAAAGGTTTTCATTGTTGAATGTTAATTTTTTGCGGAGTGAGGGGTTCTAGAAATAAATGTCAAAAGACATTTCATTTCTGAAATTTTATTGACTATAAACAAAATTTTTTGATGTTTTTCGTTAAATTTAATAGTTTTCGAGATTTTTTCAGTGATGAAAAACTCGATTTTTTAGAGGACATGTTTTTTAAATGGAAATGAAATGATGGGGAATTAATATGTCTGATTATTTTCGGAGCGGTAGATTTTAGAAGAAAATGGAAGGACTTTTTGTAGAAAATTTTGTCAGCTGCAAAAAAGATTTTTTGATGGTTTTTTCTAAATGCAGTCGTTCTCGAAATATTTGAAGTGAACGATTGGGGTTTGAATTTGGAGGGTGAAGCAGATTTGAGGGAAATGAAAGGTTTTCATTGTTGAATGTTAATTTTTTTCGGAGTGAGGGGTTCTGGAAATAAATGTCAAAAGACATTTCATTTCTGAAATTTTCTTGACTACAAACAAGATTTTTTGATGTTTTTCGTTAAATTTAATAGTTTTCGAGATTTTTTCAGTGATGAAAAACTCGATTTTTTTAGAGGAAATGTTTTTTAAATGGAAATTAAATTAAGGGGAATTAATATGTCTGATTATTTTCGGAGCGGTAGATTTTAGAAGAAAATGGAAGAAGGACTTTTTGTAGAAAATTTTGTCAGCTGCAAAAAAGATTTTTTGATGGTTTTTTCTAAATGCAGTCGTTCTCGAGATATTTGAAGTGAACGATTGGGGTTTGAATTTGGAGGGTAAAGCAGATTTGAGGGAAATGAAAGGTTTTCATTGTTGAATGTTAATTTTTTGCGGAGTGAGGGGTTCTAGAAATAAATGTCAAAAGACATTTCATTTCTGAAATTTTATTGACTATAAACAAAATTTTTTGATGTTTTTCGTTAAATTTAATAGTTTTCGAGATTTTTTCAGTGATGAAAAACTCGATTTTTTAGAGGACATGTTTTTTAAATGGAAATGAAATGATGGGGAATTAATATGTCTGATTATTTTCGGAGCGGTAGATTTTAGAAGAAAATGGAAGAAGGACTTTTTGTAGAAAATTTTGTCAGCTGCAAAAAAGATTTTTTGATGGTTTTTTCTAAATGCAGTCGTTCTCGAGATATTTGAAGTGAACGATTGGGGTTTGAATTTGGAGGGTAAAGCAGATTTGAGGGAAATGAAAGGTTTTCATTGTTGAATGTTAATTTTTTGCGGAGTGAGGGGTTCTAGAAATAAATGTCAAAAGACATTTCATTTCTGAAATTTTCTTGACTACAAACAAGATTTTTTGATGTTTTTCGTTAAATTTAATAGTTTTCGAGATTTTTTCAGTGATGAAAAACTCGATTTTTTTAGAGGAAATGTTTTTTAAATGGAAATTAAATTAAGGGGAATTAATATGTCTGATTATTTTCGGAGCGGTAGATTTTAGAAGAAAATGGAAGAAGGACTTTTTGTAGAAAATTTTGTCAGCTGCAAAAAAGATTTTTTGATGGTTTTTTCTAAATGCAGTCGTTCTCGAGATATTTGAAGTGAACGATTGGGGTTTGAATTTGGAGGGTAAAGCAGATTTGAGGGAAATGAAAGGTTTTCATTGTTGTCAAAAGACATTTCATTGCTGAAATTTTCTTGACTACAAACAAGATTTTTTGATGTTTTTCGTTAAATTTAATCGTTTTTGAGATTTTTTCAGTGATGAGAAACTCGATTTTTTAGAGGAAATGTTTTTTAAATGGAAATTAAATTAAGGGGAATTAATAGGTCTGATTATTTTCGGAGCGGTAGATTTTAGAAGAAAATGGAAGAAGGACTTTTTGTAGAAAATTTTGTCAGCTACAAAAAAGGTTTTCTGATATTTTCTTCTACATGCAGTCGTTCTCAAGATTTTTCGAGTGAAAGACAGTTCATTTTTTGTGGGGTATTTTTTTTTCCTTATTTAGTACAAAACTTGAAAGTTTATTGGGGACGCTAAAAATCGCTGCGATGTCTGGTGGTGGGTATCGCCTGGTCTCAGAAAAATGACCGTCCGATGGTTTATCGTTGGTACTTCAATCAATTACTTTACAAATCTTCAAGTTTTTCTAAAATATGACAACATCGGAACTTCGAGTACAACAATAAAAAACAATACAGAAATGAATGAGTCGAAGAGGAACTACTACTGTCAGCTACAATGTGAGGGTTTGAACAAGTTTGAACGGGTAAACCATCGATCGTCCATGTTATGAGTCCCAATAGGGGTGGGTGGGGTAAAATGGACACTTGAAACTTTTTTAAAATTATTCATAACTCAGAAACAAATTTATCAATTGAGCTCAGTTTAGCCTCGCTACAGAGGGAAAGAATTGTTCTTTGTAGAGAAAAAAAAATTATTAAATTTTATTAACATTTCAACCCCTCATTAACATTTTTAAAAAAGTGAAAAGTGTCCGTTTTACCCCAACCGCCCCTTCAGGTATTCAAATTTGGGCGTTTTATCGACTGAGTATTTGACGTCAAAACGTCAGTGACAGAGGAAAACATGCAATTAGTGAATTTATTGATAAGAGTTCATCAATTAGATCCCACGATAGCTATCATTACCCGAGGTTCCCGTTGAAAAAGAGTGAAAGTCTTGATCGATGAGTGAAAACAAAGTTGGGGGCATCCAAGGGTTTATGTGACTCACTTCTAAGAGGGGTTATAAAGAAATTGCGTATTGAGGAGTTGGAGAGTGAAAAGCCGGCAGCAACAATCAGACAGACTGAAATTTGAAGCTCGTCATTTAATTGACTTTGCAAGCCTAAAAAACGAGTGAAAATGGTAATGATGAACACCTGTTGTGGGATTCACAGAGTACGAAGAATGGCGATATTTGCTGGCAGAGAGATGCACCACAGGTAAACAACGGTCTACACTGAGAAAACAAGTGTTTTTGAGAAGTAGGGGAGAGTGGGGTAAAATGGACATTTTTGACTTTTTTTAAAATGTTAATGACAGGTTGAATTGTTGGTGAAATGTTTTTTTTATTTTTCAATAAAAAGAACAATTCTTTCCCTTTGTGTTGAGCCTAAACTGATTTCAATTGATAAATCTGTCTCTGAGTTATAAATATTTCTTTAAATATCAAACGTGTCCATTTTACCCCACCCGCCCCTACTTCGTCACTTGTATCAAGAAATTCGTGAGCAGACAATATCTCACACTAAGAAAAAAAAATCTTACGCCAAGAAATTTTAGAGGAGAGGGTGGGGTAAAACGGACACTTTAGACTTTTTTTTATGATTCATAACTCAGAAACCAATTGATCAGTTGAGCTCATCTTAGGCTCCTCACAGGGGGAAAGAATTATCAAATTTTATCAACATTTCAACCCCTCATTAACATTAAAAAAATGTCGTGTCCGTTTTACCCCAACCTCCCCTACTTGTCTGAAAGATGAGAACAGTTTCTCCATATCAAGAAAACGAGTTCTCAAATCAATTAATGTGATTTTTGCATTAAAATATTTTAGAATTGAGGCTAAAAAACTATCAAATGAATTAATGCAATTTTACTTGGTTTGAGAAATCGCTTTCTTCTCACTGAGAAATTGTCCTCGTCTTTAGAGAATGGAATTTCTTCTTAACTACTAAATCCATTTTTGCGACAAAAATTTTTCATCTCGGCGCACTCTCTGCATATTTGGCACAAAAAAAATCCTTTTTTGATAATTTTCAAAAAACTATTTTCTTGGCACAAGCAAGACTTGTTTGAGAACTCTGTCGTTTTTCTCTCAGTGTACACAACTGACCTTTTGTTCATTTGCCAAAATTGTTTAGATGGCTCTTCATCTGTTTACAAAGGAAATCACCATAAAACAATAGGAGAAGGGGAGGATGAATAACAAAGAAAAATTTGATTTACCCCCCCCCCCCCCCCCCC